GTTGGGAATGAGTTCGCTGCTCATGATGCTGTTGCGGATGTTGCGGCCCTAGCTGAAATTGTCGAAGCTCGCCCTGATGCCAGTATCCTGTAGCACTCTGTCACTTTTGCATCAGCATGTTCGGCGATGGAGTTTGCAGAACATCAGCAAAAGCGGCTGGCCACCCTTCAACCGTTGGTCCAAGCAAAGTGCTTCTCTAAATCAGTTGCAGTGCGGGCAGCTGCCAGTGGGTTGGTGATGAAGCACTTTGTCTTGTCCTACAAACGAAGTGGTGAGCCAGCCATTTCCAGACTGATGAAGGAGCAAGTCGGAGGTAAGAAGCGGGTGACAGTCTCAAGGAAGATTATATTAGTGGTGGCTGAACACCTAGCGAAGAACCAGCAGCAACCCAACTGTAAGGAACGCCCTGTGGCACAGTGCTTCACTTGTTTGTGCGCACCGTAAAATACCATCATTTTCGCCAGTGTGGGGACACGTTCTAGCTCACATAGTTGAAGAACAAGAGGACTCAATGATGTCTGATTCGTTCCAACATGTCAGCTTTCATTGTAGTTTGATATGGGACAGTGCTAAGCGCTATCATAGCTACATGTACATGTATCACAACCAAGTGCCAACAGGAGAGTAATCATGGAGAAAAGTACCTATCGATAATGCGTGCACCCAGGGTTTTCCGGCAAATTTACTAGTTCAGCTATTCCATCCTTGTATTGCTCTGAACGCCGAGGGCTCTAGTGAGTTTATGCAACACCTAACAGGCAAAAATCCAATAAGTTATGACCAAAGCAGCAGCAGAGAAGTACAAGCAATATAGATACGTGAATTTACCAATTTTAGGCAAATTTTGACAGTTTTTTGGATTTTTCTCCAGAATATGCACGGTGACCCCTATTTTCGCCGCGGTAAACCTGTTCCAACCCACTTATAGAACGTGTTTGAAGTATCCACATATGGGGCAAACTCAAAAATAAGCTGCAAAAAATATTCAAAGTTTCATTTTTTGCGTCTTTTTGTTCTTCTCCAGGAAATGACGACCTGGATCCCATCGCCAACCAAAGTGTACATTTTTCGGTGTTGATATCATCTTAGTCAATACCTCGAACAGTCTGTAAAATTTTATGTCATATTTTCTGTCCTAACTGATGTTATGGATGATTTCTCATCAATTTTGGGATTTTGTGTCATTTTGTGTCATCAAGGAAAATTGTGTTTTTGGCAAGACCTATTCGGGCAATTGAAAAACTGATGTTACTAAGCGAAAATATAAGGCTGTACCTATTAAGGGGGTTCGGGACAGTTAGGCCCAAAAATTTAATGGTGGTTTAGCGTGTGCGCTAAGCCCTGTTAACGAACGTGGAACATCTACCACTCATACTTAGTCTGATGATCATGCATCTGATTATGATGTCATTGCTATACATGCGCATGCGCAGCGCGCGCCACTCTCCCACGCATGCATTCCAAATCTTGCTTTAGAGAGAGAGAAGGAGAAAAGAGAGACTCCTTTGTCACTTTTGCTTTCTGACGACTTGACTGTTCACTGGTTTGTCCGTCAGTGTCAATTTCCTACATTTTTCAACGGTCATGCCAAGAACACGGAGCACCTCACGGGGTGCAAGCGCTGCTGGCACTGACGCTGACGGTCCCCCAGCTCTATACCCGTATCCGCAGCGGGCTGTGAATTCTGCGAATTCTCAAGACCATCGGAGAGCAAGGTCCCGTGTGATCCATGCTCATGGGCACATTTCAGCCAATGCGGACCAGGTGACTTCTCCTGCGCCGTCACAACCAGCTCCTCTCACCCTGAGCGACCTGACTGGTGTTATCCAGCCCCTCCTGGAGCGCGTGGAGCGCTTGGAATCCAACGTCGTCGCCCCTACCACCTCGCCCATTGCCGCACCAGCACCCGCACCAGCACCAGCATCAGCTCCTCTCCCGCTGGGGCAGCCTTCCCCGATGCACTTTGCTTGCGCAGCCGGCTCTCCAGGACTCCCCGTCATCCCTCCACGGCTACGGGAACGTATCACACGAGGTGAGTTTGTCGAATTTGGGGACTTGTTGCCTGAAGCCATGTCCGGCAGTAGTGATGTCCTGCAGTTATCGTTGGTGAACGGCAGGTCCGTTGAGCTGGTGCAGAGCTCGTCCACTCCCCAGCCCTCCAAGCGCCGAATCCATGACTTGGCGACGTGGTTAGAGGCCTTCACCTTGTTCACCAGAGTCCTGGTCGATGCGTCGCCGGACCAAGCTCCAGATTTGCTGGCGTACCAAGCCAACATCATCGAGGCCAACAACAATTATCTGACCGACGCGTGGCTGACCTATGACCGTCGTTTCCGTGCTGGTCTTGCTGCCATGCCGCACCTGTATTCCTGGCGGCAACTGGACCCTAACCTCTGGCAGTCCTGCTTCACGAGCCGCGGGCGCCCTATCCGCTCGCGTTGTTCTCTCGTGCACCCATCTCCAGCCCCGCATTGCCCCTTTCGTGGAGGGCTCCCTCTTGCGCAGCACGCAGGCGGGAGCCAGTCAGCCACCAGCCCAGCTCCTCGTCACGATGGCCGCCAGATCTGCCGGAATTACAACAACGGCGCCTGCACATACCCGTCCTGCATACGGGCCCATGTCTGTCTGTCATGCCGCGGCAAACACCCAAAGAAGACTTGCACCCGAGCGGCCTCTCAGTCTTCCCAGTGACGTCGTCACTCCAGTCAACGTGCCTCGGCTAACTGCACTGCTAGCTGCTCACCCTGATGCCCTGTTTCGTGATTATGTATGTGCTGGCATGTTTAACGGCTTCTCGATTGGTCACACCACTCCTCTGGTATCATGCATTCAATCTGTCAATCATCCGTCCAGTCTCTGCAATAAACAATTTGTCACCCTGTACCTACAGTCTTGTTGCGATGCTGGGGAAGCAGCTGGTCCGTTTGCTGAGCCGCCATATCAGCTGTTTCAAACCTCGGGTTTGGGCCTGATCCCAAAATCCAATGGCAAATTTCGCCTCATCCATGACCTATCCTCCCCCACTGGCCGCAGTGTCAATGATGGTATTTCCCGGGAGTCATTCAGCTTGGAGTATGACACTGTCGATTCGGCTATTTCCTATATCATGAAGTTCGGCCGTGGTTGCTACCTGACCAAAGTGGACATTCGAAACGCCTTCCGATTATGCCCTGTTGCCCCCTCTGACTGGCACTTGTTGGGTATCTCTTGGGATGGTCGTTACTATTTCGAAAAAGTCCTCCCGTTCGGCCTTCGGTCAGCTCCGTACATATTTGACAAGTTTGCATCTGCCCTTCATTGGGTTCTGGAGGACACATGCCGCCTTCCCCATCTCATTCATTATCTGGATGACTTCCTGAATGTATCGCCTCCCAGTCTTCCTCTTGCCCAGCACCAGAAGTCACTACTGCTCGACCTGTTTGCATATTTACAGGTCCCAGTTGCACCTGAGAAGGTTGACGGCCCCTCTACGGTTCTCACCTTCCTGGGCTTAGAGCTGGACACAATGGCACTGGAGATCCGCCTTCCACCCTCAAAGCTGACTAAGCTATCTACCACCGTGTCGGCCCTCGTCCAATCCGGCCGGGTTCAGAAACGCGACCTCGCCTCCGTATTGGGCAAACTCTCGTTCGCGTCCAGAGCTGTACCAGCTGGTCGCACATTCCTGAGACGCCTGTACGACCTGGACAGAGCAACTCGATCAACACCATTGCACCAATGGCTACGCATTTCGGCATCGGCAATGGCAGACCTGTTGTGGTGGGCAGAGGCCCTGACCATATGGAATGGGAAGTCATTCTTCCTGGTGGATGAGTGGACGCCAGCCCCCGACATGCAACTACAGACTGATGCCAGCGGCACTCACGGTTATGGTGCCTTCTACAACGGCCGGTGGCTGAGAGGAGAGTGGACAGCCCAGAACGAGAACGAGAACATTGAGTTCAAAGAAATGTATGCTATCATAGTTGCCTGCGCGACCTGGGGTTCGGAGTGGAGCAGGCGACGCATTCAGTTTCAGTGTGACAACAAGGCCGTGGTGGACTGTATACGCTCCGGTACCTGCCGTTCACCGCCAGTCATGACACTTATCCGGGCATTGTATCTGCTGTGTATTGAGCATGACTTCTTGGTGTCAGCTGTCCACATTCCTGGTGTCACTAACACTGTCGCCGATGCATTGTCTCGCAATTTGCTGCAGGTATTCAGGCACCAGGCCCCGGAAGCAGCAGCCGAGCCAGATCAGCCAGTCTTGCCAACTCTCCGTTGACAGACTCCGTGCTACAGCTAGCAGCACTGGCAATAGCACCATCCTCCCGCCGGACGTATTCTACCGCCGAGACCCGCTACTTCCAGTTCTGCCAAGTGCATGCCTGCAACCCATTGCCGGGCGACGACTTTACTTTGTGCTATTTTGCTGCCGAGTTGTTCAGGACTCTTCAGCCTCGATCTGTCCGTGTCTACATGTCGGCAATCCGCAACCTTCATGTGGAACTTGGCTTTGCTTACCCGTCGGGCCCAACAACTCTCCTCGCTAGGGTCCTGCGGGGCATCGACAGGTCGTCATCGACACAGCGTCATCGTCTGCCGATAACCACTCCACTTCTCAGGGAGATCTGCCGGCATGTTGCCGTTCCACGCATGCGGCACCCTCACGACAAGGCCATGCTAAGGGCAGCTTTTTCCTTGGCGTTTCATGGGTTCTTCCGTTGTGGAGAACTGACTGCTGGCCTGAGGCGATGTGATGTGACGATCAGTACTGACCAGCGGTCGTTATCGGTAAACGTGCGCTCATCTAAGACGGACCCCGACAGCACGGGCCACACAGTATTGGTTGGAGCCAGCACGGACGCACTGATCTGCCCAGTGCAGGCCATGGCAAACTACCTGGCGTTTCGCCCCGGCGGCGACCATCTGTTCACTTATGCTAATGGCCAGCCGCTTACAAGAAATGCAGTGTCCTCTGAGCTGCGCAACCTGCTGCCACTCTGTGGGGTCACGGACCCGAGTGCATATGCCAGTCACTCTTTCCGGATTGGCGCCGCAACATCAGCGGCCATGGCAGGTGTCCCCGAACACATCATCCGTATCATGGGTAGATGGCGCAGTGATGCGGTCCACCGCTACATCCGGGCTGCTACAGCTGACACCCTGCGAGTGTCACGTCAATTAGCTGCAGTTCAAAGTCATCAATGGTAGCTGCGGGTTAGTGACCACATCATGCCTGAACTGCTTAGCTTTAGCTTTACATTGCTGCTGTCAGTACAGCACAATACACCAGTCGTATTTCATTATTACTCTCATGCCATATTGGGGATATTGGGAACGGGCAGTCTATCTCCGCAGCTGGCTCATTTGAATCACTACCGGTCGCAGCTCCTGCCCACGGCAGGCCGACCGTCTCTCGTTCACACTCTGTGTGCTCCAGGTCACAGCTCCTGCGCAGAGCAGGCCGACCTGTCTGTCTCTCTCTCACACACACTATGTGTGCACCGGGTCACAGCTCCTGCGCAGAGCAGGCCGACCTGTCTTTCTCATGCACGCCAGCTGCTCCGCCCAATATCCCTGATATGCCAACCAGAAAACAATGTGTTCTGAGCCGGGTGCATGCCTGTATGTGGAGAGTGCGTTAATGGTGGTTTAGCGTGTGCGCTAAGCCCTGTTAACGAACGTGGAACATCTACCACTCATACTTAGTCTGATGATCATGCATCTGATTATGATGTCATTGCTATACATGCGCATGCGCAGCGCGCGCCACTCTCCCACGCATGCATTCCAAATCTTGCTTTAGAGAGAGAGAAGGAGAAAAGAGAGACTCCTTTGTCACTTTTGCTTTCTGACGACTTGACTGTTCACTGGTTTGTCCGTCAGTGTCAATTTCCCCTTCCCTCCCAACCCCATTCGACTGGGGATCACTATCTCTCCGTCACTGTCACCATAATTTCCTCAATAACAGTGTCAGTACAATTCTTGTCAATATACTTATATCGGGTGAGGGCAGTCTATCTCCGCAGCTGGCTCATTTCAATCACTACCGGTCGCAGCTCCTGCCCACGGCAGGCCGACCGTCTCTCGTTCACACTCTGTGTGCTCCAGGTCACAGCTCCTGCGCAGAGCAGGCCGACCTGTCTTTCTCATGCACGCCAGCTGCTCCGCCCAATATCCCTGATATGCCAACCAGAAAACAATGTGTTCTGAGCCGGGTGCATGCCTGTATGTGGAGAGTGCGTTAATTTCTACATCAGCCCAATCTGACATCAGGTTTGAATAGGTACAGCCTTATATTTTCGCTTAGTAACATCAGTTTTTCAATTGCCCGAATAGGTCTTGCCAAAAACACAATTTTCCTTGATGACACAAAATAACACAAAATCCCAAAATTGATGAGAAATCGTCCATAACATCAGTTAGGGCAGAAAATATGACCTAAAATTTTACAGACTGTTCGAGGTATTGACTAAGATGATATCAACACCGAAAAATGTACACGTTGGTTGACGATGGGATCCAGGTCGTCATTTCCTGGAGAAGAACAAAAAGACGCAAAAAATGAAACTTTGAATATTTTTTGCAGCTTATTTTTGAGTTTGCCCCATATGTGGATACTTCAAATACGTTCTATAAGTGGGTTGGAACAGGTTTACCGCGGCGAAAATAGGGGTCACCGTGCATATTCTGGAGAAAAATCCAAAAAACTGTCAAAATTTGCCTAAAATTGGTAAATTCACGTATCTATATTGCTTGTACTTCTCTGCTGCTGCTTTGGTCATAACTTATTGGATTTTTGCCTGTAAGGTGTTGCATAAACTCACTAGAGCCCTCGGCGTTCAGAACAATACAAGGATAGAATAGCTGAACTAGTAAATTTGCCGGAAAACCCTGGGTGCACGCATTATCGATAGGTACTTTTCTCCATGATTACTCTCCTGTTGGTACTTGGTTGTGATACATGTACATGTAGCTGTGATAGCGCTTAGCACAGCCCCATATCAAACTACAATGAAAGCTGACATGTTGGAGCGAATCAGACATCATTGAGTCCTCTTGTTCTTTAACTATGCGAGCTAGAACGTGTCCCAACACTGGCAAAAATGATGGTATTTTACGGTGCGCACAAACAAGTGAAGCACTGTGCCACAGGGCGTTCCTTACAGTTGGGTTGCTGCTGGTTCTTCGCTAGGTGTTCAGCCACCGCTAATATAATCTTCCTTGAGACTGTGACCCACTTCTTACCTCCCACTTGCTCCTTCATCAGTCTGGAAATGGCTGGCTCACCACTTCGTTTGTAGGACAAGACAAAGTGCTTCATCACCAACCCACTGGCAGCTGCCCGCACTGCAACTGATTTAGAGAAGCACGTTGCTTGGACCAACGGTTGAAGGGTGGCCAGCCGCTTTTCCTGATGTTCTGCAAACTCCATCGCCGAACATGCTGATGCAAAAGTGACAGAGTTCTACAGGATACTGGCATCAGGGCGAGTTTCGACAATTTCAGCTAGGGCCGCAACATCCGCAACAGCATCATGAGCAGCGAATTCATTCCCAACGATGAACTATAAATCAATCTGAGGCTGTAGCTTGGGAGCTCCGGTATCGCGGTTTAGGGATCAGAGTGTTCACCCAGCACAAAAATGCACACCATCGACACACACACATCCGTGCACACATACACACACACACACACACACACACACACACACACACACACACACACACACACACACACACACACACACATGCATGCTCTCACACGCAATAGAACACACGCGTGCGTACACACACATACATTCACGCACGTGTGCGTACCCACCCACATGCATGTGCACACTCATGTGCATGAGTGGAGATGCCCGCATACACATGTCACACCAGCATGCCCTGGGAGCGGTCATGCACGTGTGTATAGTATGTGTGCGAGGGCACGTCCACATGAGCGCATATGCATGTGCATGCTCATACATGCGTATGGTGCACACATGCACAAACATGCAGGTCTATGCAAACACACACACACTCGCGGCCGCCGCGCATACAGTGTGCTCATACATTTCCATAGCCATAGGGTGGCAATGACTCGCAAATATCATGAATAAATCTTATGAGATTGAAAAAAGCACTTACCCAAAGCAGCTTTGGTGTTGCTTGTGGAAGCACGGGGGCCAGGGTGTTGAGCAGTTACAGGGCTATCTGTAATGTATCTATAAAATTCTCCATCCCACACTGCTGACACGGAATGACAAGTACGCTGCCCAGGTCGTACCTCTTCTCTTCAACGCAATCAATGAGCGCCAGAGGTTTGCCACATCCAGGATTCTGGCACGCAGACAATCCCACAGCCAGATACCTGAGATGAACGATTCGTCGACCGTGAAGAGGGGCACTGAAAGACCTCTTCGCGGGAGTCGAATCCAGTGGCGTTAGTGGTGGAGATCGCCCTTTCCGTTTTTCAGGAACTCGATCGATCGTTTGAGTTTGCGAAGCGTCCCCGTCCTCGGCTTCTTGCATCGTCCAGTACGCAGAATGAGAGGCCGCGTCGTGGGTGACGGATTACTCTCCCGCGTCTTCATCTCCACGACACGTCGGCAGGAGAACCGAGCTATCCAAAAACCGCCAATGTCAAAACAAATCCGCAAGTCCACTAGTGGCTGAGCTTCTTCCTCAAATCTTGTCTCGACTCGAGCACGCGCTGCGAAGTCATGGTCAAACTGCTTATTTTTTTACTCGATTGTGCATGATCGCGTCCCATTTTTCCATTCCGAAAGGCATTATTTTTCAGAAAAAAATTCGGAAATCCAACATGGCGCTAACCGTCGCGAACCTCCTTAATCGTGGTATACTGTATAGACATAGAATACACACATCACTTCTTACAACACACACACACATACATCACTATCAACCCCGTTGAATGCATACTTATTACAGAAGGCTGCTGTGAAGTTTGTGAGCTATTGCCTCTATTCTAGGACAACACAGTCCATAGTACTACATTACATTGTGCAGTATAGCTTATACCATTGCATGCTAGACTTGGCAACTCAGATGCAATTACCTTGCGAGAGCTGGACTAGCAAAAGACAAAAGGATTATTCAGCAAAAATGCATGATGACGGCAAAGAATTTCTTACTCACCGTCAGCTAAGGGTTGAGTCAGCACAGCCTGCCACAACTGTAACAGACGTGGAATCTGAAAAGGCAGCGCAGATACAATGATACAGTATGATTGACAATGCTAACAGCAAGGACACCAACCAATTCAGCCCATGAAAAGATGGCTGCAGACTGCAGTGAAAGATTGCTGCAGCGATTCAACCACAATGAATGAAGTTCAAGCAGCAATGTGGGCGTGTGTGTATATTATGTGTGTCGAGAACTGCCGTTCACGAATATTTGAAATACATATAAATTTAGTGTTCACGTCTTACTTGAACTTCCTGTAGTTTCAGTCTGCAACTCCGTCGTCTTTCTCCTTTCTAACTCAGTCTTTCCATTATCTGACAGTGGTGCTCTCACCTCTAGCTTGGTGCAAGCACCCTCCGCCAGACGCGAACTACATTCTTGTTTCTCTAAAGTCTCTCAAATATATTTCTTCTTCGCGTTCACTTTCGTTCTGCCGTTTATTTATTTATTTATTTTCCTTTCTTTCTACCTCGTGGTACACGCGCTACATGTGCCACCATCTTTGTTTCCATGGCACCACAGTGCACCTGACCACGCGATCGCTACGCAGCTCAGGCCCGAATGGGTCTGGGTGCGCTGCGTCGCGATCTATTTGGCCTCGCTTGCTTCCGAGCACCGCCGTTTTCGGAGCGTACTCATTGTGCATCTCAGTTCTTTTCTCCGTTGTTCGTCAGGCGAAATTACTGGTCAGTCGGCGTCACGCATTTTTCACAAAAATTTGCGTTTCATCTGCTGGGAGAGTATGCGTGTACTCGAGTCTCATCCTGAGCACGTTTTTTTCTTCTTTTTTTCAGCTCCAGTATAGCTGTATTTTTCATTGCAAAACCGTCCTCGATTGTTGTGTTTGTTGTTCAAACGAAGTGGACATTCAATCATGAAGGCAGAGGACATAGGAGCCTGATTGGAGTTTCTCGTGGCATAGGACGGCCACACAGAGACACTTTGGGATTTTCTGAATATAAAATACCGTACGCACGATGCTGACATCAATTTGTGCGATATCAAATTGTTTGTGATCTACCACATCGAGCAGAACGGGATCCAAACACAAGCTTACCGACGGTTAGGCTGCCGACCGTCTGGCTGTCGGACTGGACAAATGATCCCTGGCTTCACCGGATGCCAGACGTCGGACACCATGTCCTTTGCCGCGACGTCCATATCCAAAAAGAACTCCATCTTCGTCGTGAAAAGGCTTGAAATACTCAATATTCAACCGAGATTCGCGGTCTCACCCTTTCTCAGATCGAATCATTTTTTGTTGTAGCAGTTGCAGGGCAGATCCCCGCCACTACTTCAACAGAAGATGGCTCCAAAGCATGCCTGGAACAAGCCATATCGAGGTTGCAAGCCACCCCTCTCAGCACTTTTTTTGAAGAAATTCGAAATTTCAATGGTGGAAGATATACTATGAAGAGAATTTCAAAAAGTATATTTCGCGGAGCGATCGCTCAACCTACGTCATTCAAACTTTGCAGGATGATTCAGACATACATGCTAGGCATGGAACCACAGAAGATGATATCATAGGTGACACACAGAGTCACACACACAGCAGATTCGTGTGCACAGATACTAAATTAGTGGACGTCGTCATCTTCTTCCCGCTGATCTCAAACGTACGATGACGTGCTATTTCGCCTGACGTGTATCTCCTTGTTTTGGTTATTCTTCTTCTTGACTGAAGTGTAGTTGATGAATGAACGATGGTGGTTTGTGTTGTAGTAGTGTGAGTGTGTGCATGGTTGGAAAGGTCTTCTACATTCTATAATCAAATCGATAAGATTTTGACAATGTGTGTGTGTGTGTGTGCGTGCGCGTGCGCGCATGGTATGTGTAACAGCAACACATAGTGCAGTATAATAATACTCTGACATGAACAGTAAATAATACAGCGTACAGTGTAAGGGGTACTACTGACCTTGAGCAGCTGAGGTACATATGATGCCGAGATCAGAGATTGCTGCAAATCGTTGAGCTGCATACAAGACAGTGAGCAAACACAGCATCACCGCATCCACGCCAGCACACCCATATATGAATACTCTGATCGGATCGCATCAGAAACGTTACACAGAGAACACCAAACTACAGTCGTGGCCAAAGAAATCCAACCCACGTGCCAAAAGCAGCGCCAAGGCTCATGCGGACCCTGGATCAGTTTTTTTCAGCGTGCATGATGTAATTGAAATGGAAACGCGGCGCAACTTTTGACTTGTGGGTCGGATTTCTTTGACCACCACTGAACATGATTGTACACCATGCTAGCATACAATGGTACCTGCCTACCCTGATACCCAACTTCACACTCAGCGCTCGCACGTGCAGTCCGCCGACCACTTGTTAGAGAACTGCACCATGGGAGGGAGGCATGGCGGACCTTGAAAACTTACAAAAAAATAGCTGGCTTGCACAGCTGCAGATTTCCAAGGGCTGCTTGCTGCCTCAGGGTGCAGCATGAAGTGTTGTGCATGTGCCTGGAGTTCACTGGCCGGTACCGCGGTACTGCAGAAAAACTGCCCGGTGATGCTTCTGGAGTCCATGGGGAAAAAAAGAAATATTCCCACACCGGGAATCGAACCCGGGCCGCGGCGGTGAGAGCGCCGAATCCTAACCACTAGACCATATGGGACACCTGATGATATTTACACATAGAAGCCTGAAGTATGCAGCAGAGAGTTTGAGATGTGCATCACATACTTCTGTCAGGTGAGCTCATGAGTATGTGTGGTCAGTTCTTCAGCCTTGCAAGCTGTTGAATGGTGCAATACCAGCACAAGTTGCTATGACTTCTGCTGTAGCATCGCTATCATCGCCTCTGGCGATGGGCGTCAAATGGTCAAATGGTGCGTGCATGGGGTGAAAAAGCCCCAAGGTCCAGCAACACAGGCCACACATGTGTGAGGCGAGGCGTCATAACTACAGCTGCATACTTATGTTTATGGACTATATGACAATATCTCCTATTGTAAAAAAAGCCCTGCTATTTGCCACAGTTTTTACTGATCATGCCAGGTGGCAATCAAATCTGCCATGACAAAAAAAAGGAAAGTTCCCACACCGGGAATCGAACCCGGGCCGCGGCGGTGAGAGCGCCGAATCCTAACCACTAGACCATATGGGACAACTGGCAATGATCACTACATATGGAGATCTCAAGATGCAGTACAGCAAATATTAAAGATGCCCATCCATACCCATGCATGTTTCACATGCAGCAAAAGCCATAGCAACTTGTGCTGGGATTGCACCATTCAACAGCTTGCAAGGCTAAAGAATTGACTGCCACTATTCAGCCTGGTCTACACCACACAGCTATGAAGTGGCTTTTTCTGGCCAGTGAATCCCTACTTTTTGGTCTATTTCATTTTTTTCACGCACACACATCACACCACATACTCCGGCATGCACCGGCTGTTGGTAACCACCCAGGAGAATGAAAGAAAAGTCAGGAGGAGTCTGAGAAAGAGAAGAAAGACGCACACAGACGCGAAATACATCAGACACCTTGCTACACTCAAACCCAAACCTACCATTTCCAATTTGAGCATCTGCTGCAATAAATCTCCCCACAGTGCAACATCGTAGAGATGATGGTCAAGACTGAATCCCACTGCAAACCGGAGTGCCTGAAGAAATAAATGACAGCACACACAATTTTATAATGACACATGAGCATAGTCGCAGCTGGGTTTTGTGTGCATCAGAGATCATGATTAATGTGTGAACTCTACCGAATACTAGCAAGGTGTAAGACCTAGCACATCTGCATGAATGAGTTGCGACATGTAGGTGTGAAAGTGGCAAGCAGTTATTTGTAGGGTGTTTATGCATGAGCGTGCAGGGATGCATGCATGAGTGCATACACGTGTGTGTGTGTGTGTGTGTGTGTGTGTGTGTGTGTGTGTGTGTGTGCGCACACAAGTTGCTATGTATAACATAGCTGTTCGCTATCATTGTTGTGTATCGGTAGAAAGACTTTTCAAGGCTCATTTTGTTGTGGTCCTTTCGTTTATTTTGGTTTGTTTTGCGTTCTGCTTTGACTCGTATTTGACTGGTTTTGGTTGCATGTATAGTTTGTACGTGATCCAAGTAACGGTTACGTCATTGTCATACGTTGTGTTTTGTTGCGCGCATGCTCGTATGCTGCCATAAATGTTAGTCTTTTTCTTCAGTTTTCAGTTTACCTCGTCGTGTCCGGTCTTCTTGTCTGTCCGTCTCCGTCTTGTCAAGAAATTATGTAGAACTCTCAGTTCAGTTTCGTTGTTGTGTGTGGCGGGTCGGATGGGCAGGGAGGCTGGGCCCCTGACGCCTGGACAACATGTGCGAGTGCACAAAAATCATCGCTTCCGCGATGGGCAGATCTGAGGTCTGAGGTGTGTGTGTGTGTGTGTGTGTGTGTGTGTATGTGTGTGTGTGTGTGTGTGTGTGTGTGTGTGTGTGTGTGTGTGTGTGTGTGTGTGTGTGTGTGTGTGTAAATTTCAACAGACCAAGGATGACAAAATATTAATACACACTTGGCGAGGAGCCAAAAATGCACGAGGCTACGATTGTCTAGCAACTTGGCTGATAAACATGACGACAAATCCACTTGAGAATACTAGTAGAGCAGGACTGCCAGTGATAGCAGAAACCATGCTGTGTGAAGGACCAGCTACTGTACCAGTGAACATGACCACATCGGTGTATGCATGTACTGCTGAATGGCACACTGAAGCAGGAGGTGATGATCAAGGACAATGTAGCTAAACTCAACACCTGGCAGTCCTATAGGTATTAGAAGCAGCAGCAGAGACTAGCCCTAAACACAGGAGCTATCCATAGGGACACAAAGGCGTGAATACTCTCACTGCTTGCATCAACACCTTGTCCGGCACTATTCCCTCAGTTCTAGTATTATATAGCAAAGCTGGCCTCCACCGGTGCAAGGTATTTGAAACTGAACAGTGACTGATGTAGATATGTTGATCTGTTGTTAGCTGGCTTTGCCAAGAGTGCGTTTCATATAAGGAGTAGTTTCTGTGACAGAGCTGGAAAAGGTTCATGACCAAAGTGCGCCAATATGCGTGACAGCCTGGTGGATGGGACGGGAGCAGCAGTAGCAAAGCGACGGCACACTGCAGTCGGGAGTAGAGCGCCGGTGCATGCGAGAGCAGGTAGACAACCATGCTTGCATCATCGCAACGTTTCTACGTCGGCGGACTGGCCAGTATGTCTCAGCATCATCTTCTTCAGCGTAGCGTCAGTAGTGGCAAGCATTGCTCCTGCTCCGCTTCCAGCTGCTGTTGCCGGGGAAAGCAACGGTGCACTTGGGCATGGCAACCAGGATCAAGGCCGATATGCTAGGGACAGCAGTCCAAAGGACGACATAGATCTCACCTCCAGTGCACAAATCCTCCGTAACATCTTCTCAGGTAGTCCATATCAAAACGCAAGTGAGCTGTCACCAGGTATGGCCGTGCAATGCACCGCACAGCTAAGTTGCCAAACACTGAAGTTGCCCACGTTGACAACCATCACGCAACACCTACCGTTCAAGACGATAGACGTCTGTTACGCATTGTCATGCATGTACTGTGGAATACATGGCACCATAAGCTGGCTATTCTCACCTAGTTGCAGAACAGTGAGAGAGATTTTCAGGGAGTTCTGTTCAGAGAAACATGTCATCGGAGACTATTCAGCAGGCGGAATCAAGCCATATGAAATAGTGCACCGAATGGACAGTCAATTATCCAGTCTCATCGAGCAAGTCAAATGGGATGAAATGCGGCTCAGAGTTTGCAATCAGACATACGTCGACAATCTCCACATCCAAACCCAGCTAAGCGGCAACGTGGAGGTGAGCAGCATTCTGACTTTCTTAAAACTGCTACAAACAACCATTCAAACTCTTCTAAAACAGCAGGAGGTGACAAGCAGCCTGTGGAAGCTGGCAACAAAGCTGGACGCTACGCTAGCCGCAGAGCGCAGTCTGGAAATTGGCGAGTTCCCGTCCGTGTATGAGCCACTGGCAGCCATGATGTGCCAGGCCGTGGTGCCCATGAGCTCTCGACAAGTCTTGGCCAGCTGGGAACGTCCGTGCTATGACTTGCTACTCCTGCTATCACAACGATACATCATGCCAAACACTACACGCGAGTGGCTGAGTACACTGGTCGAAGATTCGTGCAAGGCGTTCTTTGGCGCTGGCGAGAAGCCAGTGCTCGTCACAGATTATGCTGAAAAGATAACTTACAAAATCCAAAAAAAGTGTCCAAAAGGTTTGAAAAAGTCAGGAACCAAGTATATCCCGTTCCCCACTGCTCCAACACAGCATCCCCCCAGAATAGCTGGCCCCGCCAATACCACGCAGAGCAACGTAAACAACAAACTACCCATGTTGTCCACAGAGGCCTATCGGGCAGCGTTGCAGGGAGCCACATCACTGTTGCGCAGGGTGTATGCACCGCTTGAAAGCACCAGCACCGGCTTGTCAACACAACAGGTCCAGCTATGCACGGCTGGCTTCGTTTGTACGGCGCACATCTTCCGCCGGAGGCTGGAAAGAGTGGCGGAAATGACTCACTACAAGATGCTGAGGATCTGCAGTGAGCTGGTGTGCGTGCGCTGTACCCTGGCAACTCTGAGCTCTAACCATGAATTGAACCAGTGTATTACCCTGAACAACATCAAACACATGATGTGCAGGTTTCCTCATGAGCCTTCGTGGATCAACGGTCAAAGCCTGGACATGGTCTCACCTGCAGGCCTAGTAGGATTGAAAGAGAAGCTGGACGGTTTCATTGCCTCGTTGCAGAGTAGAAGCGTGACCGGTACTCACCTCTCAAAGTTCTCGCACTGTGTCGTGCATGCAAACGGCACAAACACCATAGCCAGCACCATCGACTACTTGACCATATTCAGTACCTTCACGGCAGACCTACTTGCGGCACATCAGTTTCTCAGCATGCTGCATCAGCAAGTAGTGGAGCTGGACGCAGTCATAAGCAACACAATGGGCATAGCCAGGAGTGAGAGAGCTTCACTGTACGTGCCACTGGCAGGTATCGTATGTCAGGCAGCCAGACAGGACCTGAGCCACCGATCAAGCACTAGCAAATGGCAAGTGCCGTGCCACGAGCTGCTGGAGCTACTCAAGCTGAAAGCCATCGTGAACGCAAGCAACAGCTTCATCTACGACTGGCTCAAGGGCATTGCTGACAGGACGTGTAGTGACCTGAACATTCAGTCGGATTCAAACCCAGCACAGTTTAACTATGTTCTGCAGCTAGATCAGCAGCAGTTCAACACGATCAAGGGCACTTGTCAATCTAGTGGCCATCACACCATCAACACACTGCCGGCAAACGAGTACAAGAGACTGTTTTGTGTCCACAACAGGTGTCCATGTCACACAGCTAACAGCACAATCGTCCCTTTCCTCGATCGATCACTCACATTTGTCACCTACATCCAGAAAGACCTCTGCTCGGCAGTCCCAGACTGTCCTGTGGACACCGGGCAGCCTGGGAATATGGTCTATGGCAGGGGCTACAGCAACAAGCAGTGGAACTGTCAACTTGACTGTCACTACAACCCGCAGTGGTGCAGCAGTGCAGTAACCAAAACAATGATTGCAGGCAAAGCCATGGCGCAGGTGGCCAGTGTACTAGTTGTGTTATTCACAGTTATTATGACGTTCCAACGCTACTGGCAAGACAAACAAATCACAAGCATCCGCCTCATCGCCATCACCAACACCATCGTAGGTCTGCAAAGCATTCTCGGTTTGATCAGTCTGGCAGCTGGGACGATTGGCTGCCGGGACGACCATACCAATGCTAGAGGCTTCCTTGATTTCAGAGGCATGTGCGGCTTTACTGCAGTGGTTGATCTGCTGTCGATGAGTGCACTACTGGGTGCTCTGCCTGGTATATGTGAGGTACTATGGGTACATGCTGCCTACCTGACACACAGCCGCAACAAGACGCACTGCGCCGAGATGAAGCTGGTGACAATCCGCCACCCGCTGCTCACCTATCTAGTGTTCGTGGCAGTGTTTGTCACGCCGGCAATAGCAGCACTGGTGGTTATGGCCCAGGGGTTGCGTGGACACGGCGACTTGTCAACGTGTCTGGGAATAAGCTATTCGTCAAGCAACGGCATTACGTTCATGGCGGTCATATTCGTGACATCATTCTTAGTGGCAACAGCCGGTCTGCAACGGACGCTGCGCCTGCTCAGCTGCAAGAAGGGACAGTACAGTGGCTTTGATAAAGCCACGCGTAAACTCTTTCTACCCATCACCTATGTCTTCCTGCTGATGCTTCTACTCATCTTCCAGGTATGTGTTATCATCACAACGTTCGCAGGCTCTCTCCACAGTGCGCAGTGCTGCAGGCCAGCAAAATTCACACCCATGAGTAAAGTAGCCCTATGTTCGACTACACCGCCTAGAGCTGCAGTGCACAGGATGTGCAGCACGCGGTGCTATCTTAGTCATGGGGCAAAGTTCAGTGGCCAGCGCTTTACAACACACGACCATGATTCACTGGCATATGACAAGTTGCTGTGATTGCAAACACGTGCAAACAAGTTAGTGTAAACGTGCATATACTCAGACATCTGCCTCGTACACAGGTACATGTGAAGCTAGCTTAGCCGTTGAAGCTTGATACATCTAGTTTCAGTGCAGTCGGGTTTCGGGAGTGGCGATGGTTGTAATCCCTCAGGGATAGACGGTAAATGTAATCACTGCTTTGCGGTTTTTTTCTTTCTGCCTTCAGCTGGGAAGAATCTATGCATACCAACGCTACGCGGACATGAGAGATACCGGTAAACACATCGACAAGGTCAATAGCTATGTGCAGTGTCACGCAACACACTGTGACACATCGCAGTGTCTGTCTGCACCGGCACTTCAGGTCCGGTGCTGGGCAAAGGGAGTTGCAATGGAGATGGGCGAGACCGTGATCGGCATTATCATGATGCTAGTGCCCTACCTGCAGACTATCACACACAACTACCGGCAGCTGTGCGCCAAGAGACACGGACTAATAGTGGGAAAGCAGAGGGAACAGCCTGTCGAGCAGGGAGTACTGCACTTTGACATCACAGACTTCCAGTGAGTGCAAACCTGTTGTGGTACAGCTATGAACAGGCGGCCACAGGTAATGAGAATGACAAGCAGTCTTTTCAGGCATCACATCAACATCAGTGTTGATATGCATGTACCAGTATAACTTAACAATGGCAATAGTTGCAAGGAGATAGCATACCAGGGCCGCGCATACAAGTCATACAGTCATGTTCTGCTCTCCTTACCAGCGGTGACGTGCTGTGGTTCTTGAGCAGACCCCGCACTAGACCTTCCTTGTTGCAGTGCTGGAAGGTGCTGAGCGACTGCGAGATACGCAGTCTGTCCAGCTCCGCCACACACACCAGTGAGTATAGATACGCCCTGTGTACCACAGCATGGAGAGCAAGCATGAGTGGATATTCGATAGGCAAGTGAGATGAGAAGAGAGCTGGCGACAAGCTAGGCTCTGTTCTGTTTTCTGAGACATTTGCGTTCAGTGTATGCAGACATTGGCAATACTATTGCTTGGAGATTTCAACAACCTTGGGAAATCATGGTTCTTGAAGTTGATGTTGGCAGTTCATATTGGATCACGTGCCCTAAGTTTCATGCACAGAGGTGGACTTGTACGACTCTAGAATTGATTGACTGACAGCCAAGGCTTAGTTCTCTGATTGTTTTGGCTATTTCTTGGTGTTCTTTTGCATCAGTTTCATTTCTTTCCATGTGTAGTGATCATTCTAGCACCAATCCAATCAAAAGAACTATCTAAAACTAGTGGAAGATATCAGACACCGGACTTATGAGAGAGACTAACAAACTACAATGTTACCTTATTTGCACTGGAAAGAGTTGAGGTGTGTGTGTGTGTGTGTGTGTGTGTGTGTGTGTGTAAAATATTTTGCCGAGAGGAAGCAGATTTGTTAGCTCCTGGTTTTCTCTTTGTTGACCTCCTCCACGGGGCGGCCCTGGCCTTCTGGTCAGGGTCGTCCCTGGGTATTGACTGGCAGTAGGCTTTTCATGCCTTGCAGCCGGTTTCGCGTGCGCGCACGCGCGCGCATTCAGTGCGCTGACGACCAGGGCGGGTAATTTGTTGCCGTCACCGTCTTCTTGCGTCCTTTCCGCATCCTCCGCAGTGGTGTGGCGAGCCCTCGGATCAACCCCCAGCCAAAAACAGTGCAGTGGCGTTCGGCAAAGCAAGTGGACTCCTGGATGAGAAAGGAAACAGGTCAGACTCGCAGAAATTTCTTCCTGCGCGATGTATCGCTGGTCGTAAATTTGTCCTTGGCCGTGTTGTTTGGACCTGAGTGGCCATTCGTCGGACGGCGATGGTGAAGTGTTATTAGCTTGCTGTGCACACTCCTCGTCGCTCGTGAAAGTACGTCTTGTGGAGCCCTTGTGGGACGTTCGGTGCCCACCCTCCAACTCAGGATTGTGTTTTTTCTGATTCACGAAGGCCGAAGCAGTACGCGTACAGACGTTTGTTGAACAGAACATCATGTTCACATTTATTTTTTATATTGTTCCTTTCTCAGTCGTTACATTTTATAGTGGACCTGCACAGACTGTTCATCTGGTTTGTGATATTTCTTTCCTCTGTTGGTGAGTTCTTTTCCATCAATGTGGCAGCTTGTTTTGATTTCCTTCTTTTTTTCAATTCATTCTGCTGTACTTCCTGTTTTGTTTTGCGCCACTGCCCCTCACCTTGCGCTCAGTTCTCTGAGTGGAGGGCGGCGTGACCCCACTGGGGTAGCTGATTGGTAGTAGTAGTAGTAGTAGTAGTAGTGTGTGTGCGTGTGTGTGTGTGTGTGTGTGTGTGTGTGTGTGTGTGTGTGTGTGTGTGTGTGTGTGTTTCATGCACATACTAGGCTTGCATACTGTTAACTGCTGTGCCTTGCTCATGATTATTGCTCATGTAATTTGAACATAGGTGGAAGATTCCACCAATACATCCTCACAGCATGAGTGCGTGCAAAAAACATCGTCTGCACACACACACACACACCTTTGACCTTTGACGCCCATCGCCGGAGGCGATGATAGCAATGCTACGGCAGAAGCCATAGCAACTTGTGCTGGGATTACACCATTCAACAGCTTGCAAGGCTGAAGAATTGACCGTCACTATTCAGCCTGGTCTACACCATACAGCTATTTGGAGTGACATTTTCTGGCCAGTGAATCCCTTTTTTGGTCTTTTTCATTTTTCATTTTTTTTTCCCGCACACACATCACACCACATACTCCGGCATGCACTGGCTGTTGGTAACCACCCAGGAGAATGAAAGAAAAGCCAGGAAGAGTCTGAGAAAGAGAAGAAAGACGTGTGTGACCATAATCGTCGGGAATCGAACCCGCAATCTATCGATTGGAAATCGCTGCACATACCACTGCACCATATGGGACACACACACACACACACACACACACACACACACACACACACACACACACACACACACACACACACACACACACACACACACACACACACACACACATACACACACTTGTACTTGTACTTGCTCACTGCCAAAACTGGTCACGTGGGTCTCCCCGGGAGAGGGGAGAGAGACTCAAAAGGAATCTTGGAAAGATGACTCAATTGGCCATTGAACCACCCAACGGCCGACACCCCCTGAAATCCCCAAACTAGGGTGGACTTGAAATGATCCCACTTATGGGCTCACCACACCTCAGTAAGTGGGTGAGGACAAGGAGCAGAAAAAGGATTGACGGCATCAGGGTATCCGTCCCGGGATCCAACTGCAGGTACCCCTGCCCCCAGTGAAGGTAATACTTGGTACTAGTGTGGGTGGCTAAATCAGAGTGGATCTGATATAAGCTTCACTAGCACCATTGATTACACAAGAGTTAATCTAGCCAGAAGCAGTCCATGGTTAATTGGAAAGGCTTCCTGTCTGAAGCCTTTCCATACTGGTACTCGATGTTCCAGTTTTGTGACACGAGAATGGCACGAGAATTAGTGTACCGCTGAGTGTACCGCTATACACATGGTCGACACGTAGTCGACACGTTGTTGATACTTTTTTGACACGTGACCCCGTCAACGGTCTGCTTTGTGCCAATGCCACTCGGTAAACGCCGATGTCGCGTATGACAAAGACGACTATCCCGTACGCGAAATAGTTGAGAACTGCATGACGTGGACCTGACGGCAAGGACAACTGCGAGGAGGCCCCTTTCGGTACCCCTGACGGGAAGGAGAACTGCAGAAGTCGAACGAGGAGGCCCCTTTTCCGTACCCCATACTGCAAAGTGCCATTGATGGATACCTTTTGCACCTGGAACGACCCCTTAAACGCTGTCGCGGCGACTATCCCGTACGCGAAATAGTTGAGAACTGCTGACGTGGACCTTTTGCACCTGGAACGGCCCCGTAAACGCTGTCGTGTCGGCGGAGTGAATGTGCAGGGTACTAGGGTGAAAAGAATTGCTGCAAAGACGTCCCCTCTACTAGGCTCTAGGCCTTTGCCTTTGGAGACATCGTCGGCAAACTGAATGCGCAGGGCGAAAAGAATTGCTGCAAAGACGTCCGCTCTAGGCCTTTGGAGACATCGTGGGAACTCCTTCCGGTACTATACAAACTGCTGACGTGGCCGTGGACATGTACATGGAGAGTCATGGTGGGACTTCATGTACATGGATACATGGTGGGAATTCCTTCCGGCACCCCCGTACCGCAAAGCCAACGGTGGGGAAGGAGAAGTGCAAACGTGCAGGAAGACGAACGAGGAGGAACCAGGACGAGCGAGCAATGGCAGGACTAGCTGGACCGTAAGTAATAGCTGAATTGTGCATGACAACTTGACACCCATGCGGCACTCGCCACTTGCCACTGCATATTTCTTGTCCACTAACAATGTCTCTTCTCTGCCCCCTGTGTGTCCACGGCCCTGTTTCTGAATTGGCCCGATGAATCGAATGTCTTCCGCAACTGGAACGGCCCCGTGAACCGCTGTCGCGTCGGCGACTGAATCCGCAGGAGGGAAAATATTGCTGCGAAGACGTCTCCTCTAGACGACGGTAAGGCACCCCATTGATATGTTGTCAGTGTGTGCCAGGGTATCGCGCGATGGTGAATGAGGAATGATGAAGGGTACGGTGGGACTGTAGACCTGTTACCTTCTACTAACACGTTATCAGGTGGAGAGTGTCTTGTACTCACGTTATCAGGTCGAGAGCGTATTGTAGTCACTCTCTCTATTCCTGTACTTCATTACGTTTAAGGTGTACGTATAACTTCTCAAAAAAATTTAATGGTCCACAGTCGTGTCGGAAGGGTACGGTGGGACTGTAGACATGTTACCTTCTAACACGTTATCAGGTGGAGAGTGTCTTGTACTCACGTTATCACTATATCAGGTCGAGAGCGTATTGTAGTCACTCTCTCTATTCCTGTACTTCATTACGTTTCAGGTGTACGTATAACTTTTCCAAAAAATTTAATGGTTCACGTCTTCAGATAGAGAGCGTATTGCACCCACTGTCTAGTCTCTGTAGTGCATTGAGATTTTGTTGATCGAACATGAAATGGATACACAGACAAAGCCAGGCCAAGTACATGGCGAGATGTCGCCAGAAGAACGTCTTCAGGTAGAGAGCGTATTGCACCCACTGTCTAGTCGATTTTGTGGATCGCACATGAAATGGATACACAGACAAAGCAGGCCAAGTACATGAGAGAGTGGACGATGTGCAGATCGACACGGCCTGCGGGTACTTCATTAAAGTTACCCGTGACATAACTAGGATAAAAGTTAATCACTGCAAAAACATTGCCAAGTATGTGAGTACTTTGGACTTGACAGAAGAGTGCACAGGCGACGTTGACAAAACATACCGCGGTGACTGTCACTATCATGACAGCAGGGCACATCGCACGCAGCATCGCAGATCGTGTCGAATTGCGCATCATAATATTGCAAAATTGCTCCTGTGCATGCAAGTGGATTTCATTGCACTTCTCAGTTTGGGAAATGCTCGATTATGACAATTCTCCGTGTGAGTGCACTAGCCCTGAACAGACATGTAGGTGAACCGTTTGTGGTGTCTCATAGCCTACCTCACGACCTTCTGCTTTCTTTCTTCATCACTTGTATCTTGCAGGTATATCATCCCGTGACGACCACATTGAAGTCTGAATTTGAAGTGTGAAGATGCTTCAGCAACCACATCGTACTTTTCCATTGCTTTCATTGTGCTTCTACTGTGCATGTGTGTAACTTGTGGGGTAAACATGTGATGACATTGTATGCTGGCGACACGGTCAGATGTTCATGCGTCTAACGTACACCTGCATGTTATGCATTGAAAAGGGTTTGCCACTTGCGATCCTGGGACGAGTATCAGGTCCGCTTTGTCCTGTGTGGGCTGTATCAGATTGCTGTTCACTTCTCTATCTGTTGGATATGTGACTTTCTGCAAGTTTCTGGTGTATGATGGCCACGTCCTTGCTTGTCACTTTGTATGATATTACATTCTGTATTCGCTGCTTCCATGGCATGGTCTGCAAACTGCAATCCTTGGGCAAATGTCATGTTTGCTATGTTGCGCTTTGGCCGTCAGCTTGTCTACACGCTGTAGTTGAATTATTTTTGTTTCACAACTGACTTCCTCAAGTACGGTGGCCACTGCTTTGCATGGCATTATACATGAAGAATTTCCTGTTTGTGCCGTGTGCATGTGCGTATGTGTGCGTGGCCACGTGTGTGTGCCGTGTGCATACACATGTTTGTGTATCTGTGTGCGGGGTAGCGAGGCGGGGAGGGCTGGTATGTATCAGTGTGTTATTGCAGTCGCATGGCTACATACAGTACATCGCGCGCGTGGTCATCATGTTTACCTTCGGGGTTGGGGTGGGGAGGGAACGGAAAAAGAGCTGAAATTATCCATATAAAAATCGCTCTGTGAGCGGTTCTGAAAAACCTTTACTGGTACTGCCCCGTCGTAAAAGTAAGAAATTAGAACTGGCCCATTGTCCCCCCAAATGCGAACTGATCCACCTAAATCGCGAATGACGGGACCCGAACGCACCAGTAGCACGAGGTTCCTACCTGTGGATGCAGATGGGGACGTTGGTCCGGACCATAGGCCATGTACTGTACTAGCGGTAGGCTTCCCTATCAAAATAATAAATTCTACTACTACTACTGGTGTTACCCTATGATAATTGCCGTGATCCTGTGCCCTCCCGACCTCGTGCTACTGGTGCGTTCGGGTCCCGTCATTCGCGATTTAGGTGGATCAGTTCGCATTTGGGGGGACAATGGGCCAGTTCTAATTTCTTACTTTTACGACGGGGCAGTACCAGTAAAGGTTTTTCAGAACCGCTCACAGAGCGATTTTTATATGGATAATTGGAAAGGCTTCCTGTCTGAAGCCTTTCCATACTGGTACTCGATGTTCCAGTTTTGTGACACGAGAATGGCACGAGAATTAGTGTACCGCTGAGTGTACCGCTATACACGTGGTCGACACTTAGTCGACGCGTTGTTGATACTTTTTTGACACGTGACCCCGTCAACGGTCTGCTTTGTGCCAATGCCACTCGGTAAACGCCGATGCCGCGTACGACAAAGACGACTATCCCGTACGCGAAATAGTTGAGAACTGCATGACGTGGACCTGACGGCAAGGACAACTGCGAGGAGACCCCTTTCGGTCGACGGGAAGGAGAACTGCATGCAGAAGTCGACGAAGTCGAACGAGGAGGCCCCTTTCCGTACCCCGTACTGCAAAGTGCCATTGATGGATGCTTTTGCACCTGGAACGACCCCTTAAACGCTGTCGCGACGACTATCCCGTACGCGAAATAGTTGAGAACTACTGACGTAGATAGACCTTTTGCACCTGGAACGGCCCCGTAAACGCTGTCGACGATGTCGTGTCGGCGGAGTGAATGTGCAGGGTGAAAAGAATTGCTGCAAAGACGTCCCCTCTAGGCCTTTGGAGACATCGTCGGCGGACTGAATGCGCAGGGCGAAAAGAATTGCTGCAAAGACGTCCGCTCTAGGCCTTTGGAGACATCGTGGGAACTCCTTCCGGTACTATACAAACTGCTGACGTGGCCGTGGACATGTACATGGAGACATGGTGGGACTTCATGTACATGATATGGTGGGAATTCCTTCCGGCACCCCCGTACCGCAAAGCCAACGGTGGGGAAGGAGAAGAGCAGACGTGCAGGAAGACGAACGAGGAGGAACCAGGACGAGCGAGCAATGGCAGGACTACCTGGACCGTAAGTAGTAGCTGACTTGTGCATGACAACTTGACATCCGTGCGGCACTCGCCACTTGCCACTGCATATTATTTTCTTGTCCACTAACAATGTCTCTCCTCTGCCCCCTGTGTGTCCACGGCCCTGTTGCTGAATTGGCCCGATGAATCGAATGTCTTCCGCAACTGGAACGGCCCAGTAAACGATGTCGCGTCGGCGACTGAATGCGCTGGAGGGAAAATATTGCTGCGAAGACGTTTCCTCTAGACCACGGTAAGGCAACCCATTGATATGTTGCCAGTTACCTTCTACTAACACGTTATCAGGTGGAGAGTGTCTTGTACTCACGTTATCAGGTCGAGAGCGTATTGTAGTCACTCTCTCTATTCCTGTACTTCATTACGTTTAAGGTGTACGTATAACTTCTCAAAAAAATTTAATGGTCTACAGTCGTGTCGGAAGGGTACGGTGGGACTGTAGACCTGTTACCTTCTAACAAGTTATCACTATATCAGGTCGAGAGCGTATTGTAGTCACTCTCTCTATTCCTGTACTTCATTACGTTTCAGGTGTACGTATAACTTTTCCAAAAAATGTAATGGTTCACGTCTTCAGATAGAGAGCGTATTGCACCCACTGTCTAGTCTCTGTAGTGCATTGAGATTTTGTTGATCGCACATGAAAATGGATACACAGGCAAAGCAGGCCAAGTACATGGCGAGATGTCGCCAGAAGAACGTCTTCAGATAGAGAGCGTATTGCACCCACTGTCTAGTCGATTTTGTGGATCGCACATGAAATAGATACACAGACAAAGCAGGCCAAGTATATGAGAGAGTGGACGATGTGCGGATCGACACGGCCTGCGGGTACTTCATTAAAGTTACCCGTGACATAACTAGGATAAAAGTTAATCACTGCAAAGACATTGCCAAGTATATGAGCACTTTGGACTTGACAGAAGAGTGCAAGGGCGACGTTGACAAAAACATACCGTGGTGACTGTCACCATCATGACAGCAGGGCACATCGCACGCAGCATCGCAGATCGTGTCGAATTGCGCATCATAATATTGCAAAATTGCTCCTGTGCATGCAAGTGGATTTCATTGCACTTCTCAGTTTGGGAAATGCTCGATTATGACAATTCTGCGTGTGAGTGCACTAGCCCTGAACATACATGTAGGTGACCCGTTTGTGGTGTCTCATAGCTAGCCCTTTCCCAAAGATGCTCGCCACTTTTTTCGGAACTTTTCGGTGTTTAGGAAGAAATCGCCACTTTCACAACTTTCTTCATTTTTCGGAACTATTTCGCAAGTTCTCCGCAACCTTGGCGCAATTGGCCCCATGGCATGGGGTCGAAAGGTCAAGTCACCGACTACATGTTGCATTGTTGGACAAATACATACTCGTGCTCGCTCATTTCGCGCCTGCCTTCAGGCTCATTTCTGAGAAACAGTAGATCAACGGTAGTTACGATAATTATGTGCATTCCCTTTTCCGTGCACTGTAATGATGTACATGTACATGTAGGATACATGCAACCGGCTACTGGCACTGTGTAAAATGGTGGTTCACAGCAGGAAGGGGTGTACGAGTTTGCTGTCGCAGCATCGCTGCATTTCTGCTATTTCTGCTCCCTGTTTTGTAGGTTTTGCACAAGAACTCTCCAATTTTGAGTTGCGATGTTGGCAACTTTTGAGCTTTTTCTGAAAATATGGATGCGATTTCAGCAACTAGCACTTGTTTTGGCACGGTTGCGAAAAGCATAAGTTGCGAAAAACTATGGCATCTTTGGGAAAGGACTACTCATAGCCTACCTCACGACCTTCTGCTTTCTTTCTTCATCACTTGTATCTTGCAGGTATATCATCCCGTGACGACCACATTGAAGTCTGAATTTGAAGTGTGAAGATGCTTCAGCAACCACATCGTACTTTTCCATTGCTTTCATTGTGCTTCTACTGTGCATGTGTGTAACTTGTGGGGTAAACATGTGATGACATTGTATGCTGGCGACACGGTCAGATGTTGTCCATGCGTCTAACGTACACCTGCATGTTATGCATTGAAAAGGATTTGCCACTTGCGATCCTGGGACGAGTATCAGGTCAGCTTTGTCCTGTCTGGGCTGTATCAGATTGCTGTTCACTTCTCTATCTGTTGGATGTGTGACTTTCTGCAAGTTTCTGGTGTATGATGGCCACTTCCTTGCTTGTCACTTTGTATGATATTACATTCTGTATTCGCTGCTTCCATGGCGTGGTCTGCAAACCGTGCAATCCTTGGGCAAATGTCATGTTTGCTATGTTGTGCTTTCGCCGTCAGCTTGTCTACACGCTGTGGTTGAATTATTTTTGTTTCACAACTGACTTCCTCAAGTACGGTGGCCACTGCTTTGTATGGCATTATATATGACGAATTTCCTGTTTGTGCCGTGTGCATGTGCGTATGTGTGCGTGGCCACGTGTGTGTGCCGTGTGCATGTGCATATGTGTGCGTGGCCACGTGTGTGTGCCGTGTGCATACGCATGTTTGTATATCTGTGTGCGGGGTAGCGAGGCGGGGAGGGCTGGTATGTATCAGTGTTTTATTGCAGTCTCATGGCTACATACAGTACATCGCGCGCGTGGTCATCATGTTTACCTTCGGGGTTGGGGTGGGGAGGGAACGGAAAAAGAGCTGAAATTATCCATATAAAAATCGCTCTGTGAGCGGTTCTGAAAAACCTTTACTGGTACTGCCCCGTCGTAAAAGTAAGAAATTAGAACTGGCCCATTGTCCCCCCAAATGCGAACTGATCCACCTAAATCGCGAATGACGGGACCCGAACGCACCAGTAGCACGAGGTTCCTACCTGTGGATGCAGATGGGGACGTTGGTCCGGACCAAAGGCCATGTACTGTACTAGCGGTAGGTGGTGTTACCCTATGATAATTGCTGTCCTGTGCCCTCCCGACCTCGTGCTACTGGTGCGTTCGGGTCCCGTCATTCGCGATTTAGGTGGATCAGTTCGCATTTGGGGGGACAATGGGCCAGTTCTAATTTCTTACTTTTACGACGGGGCAGTACCAGTAAAGGTTTTTCAGAACCGCTCACAGAGCGGTTTTATATGGATAATAGGTATGTACTGTACAAGCAGTAATATTCGTCTGGAATTTAATTTCGTCTTTTTCGTCCAACGAGCTGTTGGACTAAATTAAATGCCGGACTAATATTGATTTGTCCAGCTTTTCAAGACACTCTTATGATCCATGGACGAAATTTACAACCGGACGAACTCCCTTTCTTTGGAGTTGGACGAAATTATTGACCGACGAAATTTTCTGCTTGTACAGTATACTTCAAACAGAAAGTATATGAACCCTGAAACCAACAAAGGTGGTAGGTACAACAATACACCTTCAAGCAGCCGAGCCCGTTGGCAACAGGCCCAACACTATCTGGCATAAGTGTACCCACCAACCGAACTAGCTGGCACATACACACACACACACACACACACACACACACACACACACACACACACACACATACACAGTGCACATGTCTCACCACAGCTCCTCGGCCTTGAGCTGACTTATGCGCTCCAGCATAGCTATGTCGGGTACAACAGCGAACAGAACTCGCATGGCACGTGCCTTGCACGTGTTTGTAATCTTCGATGCCGTCTCCTAATGGACAAAGCAAAGACATTACCATACAAAGAGACACACCGGAGTCGATGGCTGTATCGGAGCTTGCAATACATGTTCATGTAGGAATCGTTGTGGCAAGCTGCTAGCAGTACTTTGCATGACAGTTAAATGTCATGTGCAATACACAGAGCTGAGTGCAAATAATCACAAAAAAGCTGGGTATTTCGTAAGAGAGGAAGGTCTTACACACATCTACACTGCGCACGAATAGAAAGTTGTGAAAGCAAGATCATTTCGGTGTTACTACCATAGGTAGACCTGGGCTGAATGTGGAGTATTGATGCTAGCAAACACAACACTAGTACAACTGGCAGCTGAAAAATAACTTGAACATGCAGGACTAAGTGAAGAATTTTAAAGAACCGCAACATTTCTTTGTTGCTGCTGATAAGAGCACAGGCGTGTGTACACCAACTGAAACACAATGAACAGTGAAGTTACAACATACATAAACCTGAAAACTCCGGAGGGAACATTGCACTGAGAAAGGTCCAACACATAAATACGAGTAGCTGTCCGGAGATGAGGAAATACAAGCAGAGTGTTCATACAGACAGGTCATCAGGCGGTCTTCTCCAAATCTAACCTTGTACGCATACTGCAGCAAGTACAGAGCTCCTTTCTCATTGCAGGCTGGATGCAGCAGCAGAAAGATGACCCTGTACAGCAGCAGACACAACCGAAAGGCACAAGTACAAGTACAGTAAAAGCGGTGTTTGCCGGACCCAGACCCTAACCCTAACCCTAACCCTAACCCAGACCCAAGCGGAATCCTGTCAGATCAGGACAGTTTCCGCTGCACCAAGGGCGTCTGGTTAGGGCAGGTTTTACGCAGACAAAACTCAACTCCACACCATAGACTCTGTCATACTATGCATCAGCGGCGGATCCAGCGATCTCTACAGGGGGGTTCCAGTATAGCCAAAACTGAATAGGTGATACATGTACATGGACAAGCATATGGTTGCCAGTAGTACATTTACGAAATTTAGGGGGTTCCGCGGAGCCCCTGGAACCCCTCCTGGATCCGCCCCTGTGCATGCATCGGTTGGCAGAAGTACAGTGTGTAACGTTACATTGAACTGCTAAACAACATTGCACACTAACGTCCAACCTGTAACGGACAGTGATGGAATACATGGGGGATGATCCAATGCGCTCTCATCTCTGCTGCAGCAATCAGTTTATCCATAAATTATGGTTGTAAAGTGCTTGCCTTGAACAGCCAGGATCATTTTACACCGAGATTTCTCCTGCTACAGGTCACTGCCCGTGTCTCGATAGCACTGGAGGCTGCTTGGGGACATGCTTGAGCCCTTCTGACGTGGGTGCCAACCGTTGCGACTCCAGTTCACCACTGATTACAGCTGGATACATCTTACAATCCACTATTACTACACCGTCCAGAACGCAGGTGTGGATGTCTGGATGACTCACCTTTGCAAGTTGACTTCGTCTTCACGCTCTTCTTCAGCAAAGTTAATGTTGCGTTGCTGCAGAGTGCACGTGAAAAAGATTGGAAAAGATGGAGAAACTGTACGTCAGTATGCCTTTCTCCTCCCAGTGCTCAAGTGATCACACTCACAAAGTCAAACTAAAGCAGCAAACAGAGGCCTATTCACCATGCAAAGCATGCTGCAATGTGTACATACAGGACACGGACAGCACCGCAGCAGGGAGAAACGGTCATGACTTACCGACCAGAGGGCAGTCTGGTCACGGCGACTTGCTGCAGTCGGCAGCCATTTCTAAATCACAGTGCACAACACAGGACACACACACACACACACACACACACACACACACAGGACAATACAGGAATGCAGGCATACAGTTATGCTGGTATGCAGTCACACTGTTACATAGTCGCACAACCAACCAACCACACGGGTCCATATAAGAGACACACATTTCAGCAGTTCATCATTCCAACAGCAACTGGAGACAGAATCTAAGCTGGATGTGGATCAATAAGCAGAAGCCACGATGAATCCGAAGACCAGTCAATCAATCTAGCATGCATGCACGGGCGGGCCATCACCATCACAAATTCTACACAATCTTGTTACCTTGACTAGCTGAAGGCGCACATTGTCTCCATCAATGTCGTAAATGGCAGATGTCTTATCTACGACACTGTGAATATCTGCACATGACATCAGCAAAAGACATACGTACATACAGGAAGAAATGAAAGACAATCATGCTTGTCCATGCACTTGCCACTCGCTTGCTGGTCATAGAAGAGAACAAAGAACAAGCTAAGGATGCAAGTTACTAGTAGCTTGCGATAACAACTTACCAGTACAGCTGCCGTGCACTAGTATACGTGCAACCAATGGCAATGCCTCGCACATGCTTCACTCTCCATCCCCTCAAACATGTACTCACATGCTCTGGTTTGAAGTGCGAATGCACATACGAGTGCTCCGTCGGTATCTCCAATTCATCACTAAACACTAAAAGTGTGTATTGAAGACACTGCAACAACCCTGAACACAGTCCTACCCTGAGAACTTGGATGGTGCTGGAGGTTTGCTCCCAGAATTAAGAAGTTTCAAAATCAACATCCAGTCATGCACACATGCACACCTGCACACATCATCAGGCTACATGTAGAGCCTACTCCCTAGTCCTCACCGAAGTCGGCAGCAACTTGGCCCCGTGCACTCCAGGCGATACTGGCATGCTGGTACAGTTGTAGAATAAGCTGCTCAACTGGCAATGCCGAGAGTGATTCAACCTCGCTCTGGCTGTACGGAGTCATCTGCTGCAGCAGCAACTCCACAGCCAGTTGGTTATGGAGCACAAGAAACTTGCCGTGACTCTTGTTTGCCTGGCTCATGGACTCCTGGAAGAGCAATGACAGTGAAAGTTCAACATAGTAGTTAGCAGTTACACGCCATTGTGCAAGCAAAGGAAACTACTGTAGACCTACAGCTGTAGCCAGCAAAGTACTACCATTCTTGTTTGGAGCGCAGAACAATGCACTGCACTGGGTCACATGATTCACCATACCCACGCGTACTGGTAGGACTGCCTTTGACTGCATGCTCGTGATGTACTTGATCAATGAGCACCCTCTACAAGTACACATATGGCAGCAATGTTCAAGCTCACTGAGAGGAGGATATCAATGCAACAAGAAAAGCAAGTTTCACATTGATTACACGCCGTTGGCCAGAGTTATGTGTCCTGAAACGTTTTGTTACCTTTACAATGCATCCTTCTGAAGACATGACAATGAAAACGTTCGAGGACACTGAACTTCTGGCCTATAGTGTGCGAGCAATGCGAAACTTGCTCTATTTATTACGTTGACAAAACCAAAACCAGTAGCCAGAAAACCCAATTTAGCTTCTGGATAGCATAGCAAACACCACTGCATCTTGTCTTGCTCCCTGAGCAGCCGTACGGCTATATCAGGAATGACAATAAGTAACAATTTCATAAGCTATACCAATCCATCTACTGGCTGGGCCAAAAGAGATCGCAGTGCCCACTTTTCATGGGAACAAAAGTTCACATTTGCCACTTTGAACACACACGTTATCATCATCTCACCTGCACTGTAGCCGTCCTGGCCCAGTTCTCAGCTAGCTGTAGGCACACATTCAATGCTTCAAGCTTTTCAGGTCCTGACGGCAAACATGAGAGAGGAAGAGAGAGAGAGAGAGAGAGAGAGAGTCAGGGGAAACAGTCTTGCTTACTTTAACTCATACTCGATAATTTTTTAGCTGTTCGACATAATGGATGTACATTAGGCAGATTTGAGGCCCGTGAAGCCAACCCTACCTACAAAGTACCCCGGATACAAGGTACATGTCCTTTCCCTATCCCTGCACATGAATGGAGCAGGGACGGATGACAGCTAAATATCGCTTGGCATCACCACAACACTGGTGGTTTGGCAGTGGGAAAAGTACATGTACACGATGACTGGCTGCCTGCACAGGTGAACGCACACCTATCTAGCTCTCTCTGCCTCTCTCCGTCTGTCTCTCGCAATCAACACACAGCCACACACTCAACACCACATGCGTATGCTTCAAAGGAAGAATACAAACACACACATGCCTGCGCATTGGCCCCAACCGACCTTTGTCTAGGCGACTATGCACCCACGCAGTGGTGGCGCTAGCATTCTTCATATCCTGGATGGCAAACAGAGAGGACTTCAGTGACGAGAGCAGTCCGGACGATGAAGATGCTGATGAGGATGTGAGCATGCTGCGTGATGGTGAGGTGTCCTCAGCCGGCCAGGATGAAGTCCTCTTCTTGGCAGCCAAGTAAGCATTGACCGTGTTCTGAATGGCTGTCATGTGTAGTTGGTCAGCTGGAATCTAACAGCACAAGCAAAAAGGTAAGATGTACAATGAAACATTGATTTTGCTACCTAACGTTACCAGTACTGACTTCACATCACACTGCTCCAGGGCATACAGTTGTCCCCCATAGAAATACACTCGACAACACAGTATTGCCTCTGCTTCACACAGCTCACCTCAACGCATTAGGGTCTCTGTTGCAAATGCCTCACCTAAGTATCTGTTTCACACAGCTCACCTCCACTCATCTGACAACCCCAGGCTAGGAAATATGCTCATCTAGCAAAACAATAGGAACAGCTCCATGCATGAGATAGGACCATACCTTGACCAGCAAAACAATAGGAACAGCTTCATGCATGAGATACGACCATACTTTGACCAGCAAAACAATAGGAACAGCTCCATGCATGAGATATGACCATACATTGACCAGCAAAACAATAGGAACAGCTCCATGCATGAGATATGACCATACCTTGACCAGCAATGCCAGAGGTACCAACGTCGATACAGTCTCCACAGTAGCTTCAGTGCCTGCAATGATATCACAGTGCATAGAGGGTACACAACAATTTGGCGACTCCATCAAGGACTGGGTACAACCCCTGAGTGCCAAGAGCAAGAAAAGCGACGCTGCAAAGCACAGCTCGGCTCATGTGTGGCTACATCGAAGGTTTAACATTGGATAAACACTGATGAGTAGGGTTGCTGCACTATTTGAGACGGAGCAGTGATACTGGTGGTCATGGTGCTCATGCTGGTAGTGCGGAAGAAGTGAGTTGGAATGAGTGAGGATATGGCACTGACACAGAGCATGTGACTGGGGCCATGCATTGTCTGCAAGCCGTTAGCATCTATCTTCTTGCATTGAACAGTTCCATCACTCCTATTCCCACTTATTCTTGCCCGCCTTTTTTCTTCGGTGTCGCTTCACCTCTCTTTGAGTTCATGTTCCTCCCATATTTCTGTTTTATTTCTCTGTTGCTGTTTTCCATGCTGCTGTTACGATGTAACGTTGTTCCTTGTTAGCATTCAAGTAAGTTCTCAAAGCATACATGTGTTCAGTGGTACTAGTATATCTCTGAAATGTGATAAATCGCCTGCAATGGAGCCTCAAAATGCCTAGCAAAATGCCCATCAGCTTGGAAAGGAAGCACTTACTGAGCATCTTGAGCGCATTGCTGCCAAACAACAGCATGTGGAATGGTAGACGGCTACTGGACAGCTCCGGCATTTTCTTAGCTGGCTGCAAGAAGTCGATCTAGAAAACAGTGCAAATAAAAACAGTCACTCTCAGCTCCACTGATGAGACATAAAGGTCAAAAGTTCTAAAAACAAACCAGCTAGCTGTCCAGAGATTGAGCAAATTATGTACCTTTACATGTCCCAGCTGGTGATTTAGTTAGAGGCTCACCGGATACCTCTGTATCGGAATCTCAGCCATTCCGTTCCCCGGGACGCAGGACACAACGGACAAGACTTGTTTGTTTTACATTATATATTTGACATTACGGAAATGGAGACAACACTCAAAGGGACGAACAAGAAGACTGACAAAAGGACTGTCGACTACAAAATCGCGCATGCTCATATCACACATGCACGCAACTAGACGAGACAGTTTGAGGAATGCCATCACACAGGAAAACAACACATCATTTCACAACACCTCTAGCACATCTACCTGGCATAACAAACAGCTGCTCAGAAGGAATTTTTTCTGAGCGACGTACACATGCTTGTCAAGCAGGACTTGTGAATAAGGTGAGGTCATGACGTAATAGTCCCAATACACAGGATTCATGTGCTCAATCTGTATCAAAATCGTTCGAGCAAGTCCCCATGCAAAACACCAAATTTGTGTCTGATATGGAACAAATGTATAAGCAACGTGTCGTGTAACTCCATGTTTGGCTACCTTGTACCAGGGCTCTACATGCAGTGGAGAGAGACTGGAAACACACAAAAAGAAGACTGTGTATGCTTGCAAGACTAGTAATAACCAGTGTGAGCATGTATGATGAAAACGACTGTATTTTATTTGTTCACGTTGCCATGGCCAGAGGAAGCTGCCACCAATGTGGTGGGAATTCCGGAAGTGATAGTCATGGCTCATGATAGTAGGTAAAGAATGGCAAGTGATATTACATCCTCTGTCCCACCATATGCACACCGCTCACCTCATCACCTGCCGGCTTGGTTACGTACTTGACCTCGGCCGGCCCCGGCGGAAAGCGTCGCTGATAGTGTTGTAGCATGTCCAGCAGTCGTGGACCCTGTGTGTACACGGGCAGAATTGCAGCATTACATCATCATCCAGTGGCGACCATGCAGACAGTCATTCCCACAGGCACATACAGGCACATGCAATGTACTACAACTCAGGACTACACCACTAAGAACAATAGTGACCAGTATGCAGTCATCCCAAGCCCAAAGCTAGGATCTTGGACGCTACAAAATTGTGCTCTTGACAACAGTGGCACATGGTCACGACACCACAGATGTGCTCTGGCACATAGTCACTGCACCACAGATGTGCGAGCTATGCCCCTGAAGAGAGAGAGAGAGAGAGAGAGAGAGAGAGAGAGAGAGAGAGAGAGAGAGAGAGAGAGAGAGAGAGAGAGAGAGATAGGTTATGGCAAGGACACATTTCCGGCCGATCAGGAATTCCCACCCCCTCTCCACACGTACCAGCTTGATAGATGCAGGCATCTCCTCGTCCTTGGGCCACAACCGTTTCAACAGCGACAATGCACACGAGATCCGTTCATAATCATAGGGATCAATCTAGTGCAAAATAAAAGAACACAATACAAGATGTATATACCATATTACACACCTGCATATTATAAGGATATGGCAAATTTCCTCAGATTTATCATTGTGGCCAAAAATTACAGGAAAAGTACTTCTGGACAAATCGGAAGCACAATGGCATTGTAAACTCGCCCAGGATACTCCATTAGAAGGACAAAGGTGATGTACATGTACATGTATGCCTTAGAGTAGATTGAGCTAGCACGGTCTTCTAGGAATAGGTGCTGGTGCACCAAGCAACACTGGAAAATCAGTGGCACATACCTTCTGGACAGCTTCAAAGACAACCTGCAACATGTCCTTCTGCATGGCTGCTTGCTGAGCAATTGCTGTCAGTTCCTCTACTGACGGCACAGCAGTTGTGGCCGGTTCTGACATCACAATTGCCATGGCCCCAGGCAGACTGCTGTCATGCGTGTTCGGCTGAGGAAGAATGCAGCCTTCAACTCGCAGCTGAAGCAAACGCTCACGATTGAAGTCAAAGTATCTACAGCGTAACGAATACAGAGGTAAGGCGGAGGCTGCTAAGCAAAACATTCCTTTCTCAACAAAAGTCAACAGAATGCACTCTCACATGACTCAAAAGTATATAGAAAGATATGGCTGCGTAAGAATCAGTCAGAGTGGTTTGTCCTCGTGCATAGCAAGGAATGCCATCACCCTGAAGGATCAAGGCATGGACACAGATCCTAAAATGGTGGGAGGTAAGCAAATCAGACACACCGCAAAGTGGTCGAAAACAGAAATCCCATTCGTTGCATCCACGTTATCAATTCAAATGGACCATCACCAAGCCAACACACACAAAAGTCACACATTGTTGACTGACCGACAGAAGTCTAGAAGTGTAGAAAGCTCCATGGTCGGCTCGTTGAGCATCTGATGCAGTACCTCCTTCTGCTTAGCACGGTCCTGATGGGCATTGTCTGGAAGCTGAATCTAAACACATGTACACATGCACACAAATACACATCAGCGACCATGAACCATGCAGGAAAACTGCTATAAAACACGTTTTGGATAAGGTTCGAAGAAACATTTCAAATGGCTGGTACATATGGTGTATGCTTTCCATTCAGTTACCTGCATCAAACTGCTGTTGTGAAATGATGTGTTGTTTTCCTGTGTGATGGCATTCCCCAAACTGTCTCGTCTAGTCGCGTGCATGTGTGATATGAGCATGCGCGATGTTGTAGTCGAGAGTCCTTTTGTCAGTCTTCTTGTTCGTCCTTTTGAGTGTTGTCTCGATTTCCGTAATGTCAATATAAATAATGTAATACAAACCAGTCTTGTCCTTTGTGTCCTGCGTCCCGGGGAACGGAATGGCCGAGATTCCGTTACAACGTGGTGCCGAAACCCGGGACGCAGAGGATGAGTAAGTTTGTCATGAGTCTGTTCGTCGTCGTCAACAAATAATAGTAAGCGTGGGGATGGAGGTGATCAGGAGAGATGAGGAGCTGGTGGAAGCGGAAGACGACGCGGAGAGGAGGCAGAGAAGGTGGTGGACCGGCAGAAGCTGGGGACTGGAGCCTGGGACGGCAGGTACCGCATGGAGCGTGTGGCCGTGGCTCGCCAGAGGCCAGTGGATGAGTCTGGCATCACCGACTGTGTGTCGTCCTTTGTTGTTCGTCTTGTTGTTGTCTTGCTCGCTTAATTGTCTGATCATGTTTCTCTCGCTGTTCAGTTCGTTGCTTGTTGCTGTGTTGTTTCAGTTTGGTTGTTGTCGGTGTTATGAACTGCTATATTAGGTGCCTTATGACTCTTGTGTCACACTGTATGTTGCTATGCATGCTGTGTACACGCTCACCCATATGCACGCGCCTCTGCTTTATGTGTACACCTCTCATGCTGTGCATGTGTCCACGTGCGTAGCTGCACTCCTTTCTCAGATTGCATGCCCGTCTTTCTGTACTTCAGTAGTTGAGTCGATCCTTTAGTTCAGTGTGCTTCAGTCTGGTTCTGATAACTTACTTCTAACTTCTATGTCTCTTCCAATTCTCTTGTAAATAATTCATTCCCTAATCCGAAGTGTTGCGTTAGTGCTGGCTGGTCGAACGTGGGTTCCACTACAACTGGTGCCGAAACCCGGGACGTGTGTGTTGTATTGACGAGTGCAAACCCTGCCACGCCAGCGAGATGTCGCTCAAGTTTGACAACTTCCTCCAGCCGTTCCGTGGGAACGGGGACGATTTCGGACGTTTTTGGGATAAGTTTCTGGTGCTTGCAAACATACAAGGTTGGGACACGGACGACAAGAAAGTGAAGAATTTTCCGTTGTTCCTGACGGATGACGCGTTTCTTGTATTTTCACGGATGCCGGCAAGCGATCAGAAAGACAAAGATAAAGTCTTGGCGAAAATGGGACTGTCGTTCACTCTGACGAAGGCGCAGGCGTACGCCAGATTCACCTCACGGACGATGCGCGTGGATGAGTCCCCCGACGCCTACGTTGCCGATTTGCAGCGACTGAGTACTATGGCGGGGCACAAGGCTGATGACGACAAGGACCCGATGATCATAGAGCAGCTGATCAAGGGACTGCCGGTAGAGTTTGCCCGAGAGCTAAGACTTACGATGGCGGGCAAAGAGTTGAGTGTGACGGGTTGCCTGGACGTGGTACGGGCGTTGAAGGCTGCGACCTCGGACCACTTGACACGAGTGCGTGGCGATGTTGTTGTGGCAGCTGCCACCACGGATGAGCAGGCATGTTTCAACTGTGGCGGAGTTGGCCACATGGCGCGGCAGTGCCCGAAAGCGAAGAAATCTGGTCGCAAGAGTGGTGCTGGTAAAGGAACGCGCGGCGAGCGTACTGGCCCTCGAACCTGTTACTTCTGTGACAAGCCAGGTCACATGAAGAGTGACTGTCCGGAGCGTAAAGCCTGGCAAGAGCGGAAATCGTCTGGAGCAGCAACGGCTGCAGACAGTGGCTCCCTGGCGAGGGGTGCGTGTTTGTGCACTGTAGCCGAGGCTACTAGAGCTTCACTGCCCAGAATCTACGTTGACGTGCGAGGCGTGGTAGGCAGCGAATGGGCACGTGCTAGAGCAGCAGTGGACACTTGTGCAAGTTACACAATGGTTACGGTCGAGTTCCTCAAACATCACAAGATTCCGTTCACTGCTCAGCCACGTGTGTCTGTTGTATCCGTGGATAGCAGCAAGGTGAAGATCAGAGGAGCAGTTGATGTGGAACTGCAGCGCCAAGGGGATGGTGAACCGGTTAGTCTGCCAAGAGTGCGTGTGAATGCCTGCGTTGTCGACTCATTGACGGCTGTGGCAGCAGACCTCCTCCTCGGTGCTGACGTTATAGCTGGTGTTGGTGGCGTTCGACTCAGTTATGGCCAGGACGGCGAGGTCAATGGCGTGTGCTTTGGTCCTCAACCTAGAGATACCGGTGCAGCCGCTACTGCTGCAGCTGACGTTGAGAGCACACTCCGTCATGTGGACGTCACAGAGGACGATCGTGGTGTGACCCTGAAGGCCGAAGACGGAGAGCTCCGGTGGGACAACGACAAGCAGCATTGGACGTTGCACTGGCAGTGGCGTGATGGGCAAGCTCCTACATCTCCGATCGGCTCAGGGATCGGACAGTACGCGAGGCACAACCTGTCAGACAAGCAAGAGTCGCAGTTCTGTGACGAGATGGACGCCTGGGTCGAGAATGGCTACCTGATCGAGTACGACGAGGCTACGTACGGTCCTCCGGCGGCCATCATTCCGCTGCTCGCCAAGGACCAAGCCCACAAGGAGTCGACCCCAGTTCGTCCTTGTCTTGATTACCGTGGCTTGAATGCGGTGATTAAGTCGAACCCAGGCACTGATGCCCCAGCATGCGGTGAGAAGATCCGCAAGTGGCGACAGGTTGCAGACAGCCAGTTTGAACTTGTCGACATACGTAAGGCGTACTTGCAGGTACGAGTCGACCCATCCCTCTTGCGCTACCAAGTCGTGGTGTGGCGTGGGAAGCTGTACGCCATGTCACGGATGGGTTTTGGTCTATCGATTGCACCAAAATTCATGGACATCATTGTTCGGTGGGTGACGCGACGATGGCCTGATGTGGACAACTACGTTGATGACGTCCTCACGCCAGCGGAGAAGCGCAAGGCCGTCGCTGCAGAGCTAGCACGGTATGGCTTGCCGACAAAGCCACCAGAGCATCTACCCGAGGCGCGAGTGCTTGGCCTGAAGCTATCGACGACTGCTGATGGTACCATCATGTGGGCTCGCCGCGATGGAGTCGACCTCAGCTTCCGCCAACCGCTGACGAAGCGTGGTGTATTCCAATGGACAGGTCGGCTCACAAGCCACTATCCAGTGTGCGCATGGCTTCGCCCAGCCTGCTCAATGTTGAAGCGGCTATCAAGTGCAGTGGACAGATGGGACATGCCGGTTCCACCTAGCGTTCTTCAGTGTGCTGACGAAGTTGCTGAGCAGCTGTCCGCTCAAGACCCCGTCCGTGGTGTGTGGCATGCATCAGCCGAGTCCGATGGAGATTGGGCTGTGTTCTGCGATGCCTCGGATCTGGCAGTCGGTGTGGTCCTCCAGCTGAACGGCCAAGTCATCGAAGACGGTACATGGCTGCGGGACACAGCCGATAAGAAGCACATCAATGTGGCGGAGCTAGATGCTGCGGTGCGTGGACTGTCGCTTGCAGCGCAATGGCACCTGCAGACGGTACGACTCGTCACCGACTCAAAGACAGTGTACGGCTGGCTGAAGCAGGTCCTCGGCAATGTGCGCCGAGTGAAAGTCGGTGGGCTGCACAAGATACTGGTTGAGCGGCGACTGGAAGTGATTGCTGACCTCGTCCAAACGGTCGGCCTCAAGGTCCGAGTGGAGTGGGTGCCGACTGACCAGAACCCAGCCGATGAGCTCACCCGTGTCCCGAGGCGGTGGCCCAAGGGTACAGATGAGCCGAGTGATGTTTGTTCTGTTTCTGTGGCAACGGACAAGCATGCTATCGGGCCCGTTACTCTCAGTGAGATAAAGGATGCGCAGCAAGCCGATACCGAGATATCACAGCTGCTGGATGAGCTGAAGTCGGGAACCCCCCTGTCGTCGAAGCTGTACAGACCGGTCCGTGATCAGCTGTTGGACCATGACGGTGTGCTGATGCGTTCAGTAAAGCTGCCACTCGACGGTGTCGTGCAAGTGCCAGTCATACCACTTGAGCTTGAAGACCAAGTACTGAAAGCATCTCACAAGACCTCTGGCCATGCCACCTGGACGACAATGCATGACTCACTGCGCAAGCGCTGCTATATGCCGCTGATGGCCGAGAAATGCCAGAGTGTTGTCCAAGCGTGTGTGCCTTGCTCTGCAGCTAACCCGGCACGGGGACCGACTGTTGAGCCAACGCGTCCAGACGTACCAGGACGACCATGGGAGGTCATACAGATCGACACGTTGGAGCTTGGCCAGAGTGGAGCGCACCACTGCTGCCTGGTATGCGTCGACATGTTCACCAAGTGGGCGGAGGTACAGCCACTACGTCGACACGATGCAGCGAGCGTAGCAGCCGCACTGACCAAGATCTGCTGCCGGTGGGGCCCGCCGTCTGTCATTCGCATGGACAACGGCACTGAGTTCCGGAACGCGGTCGTAGCAGCCCTCCTGGAACAGTTTGGTGTGGTGGTGAAAACGGGTGCAGTTCGACATCCTCAATCACAAGGAGGGGTTGAACGGCTCAACCGTACAATCATCGGTCTCCTGCGTAAGGCGCTCGAGGAAACCAGTGACTGGACGTCTGAGCTGGAGTTGGTTCTGTTCTACTACAATGGACGTCGCCATGCTACAACCGGAATATCGCCAAGGCTGGCCATCACGGGCTGGGAAGGGCGCGATCTAGTAATTGATCACGACCCGACAGCATACAGCGCCAGTGAATGGGTAGACCGACTCGCCGGGCGCGCTGCTCGAATTCGAGACCTTGTTGAGTCGCTACTGTCCTCGAATGACTCTGTGTCAGGCGGTCCAACAGAGTCACCATACCGTGTCGATGATCCGGTGATGCTACGTCGCCCAGAGCGGAGTCAGAAGCTCATGACGCCATATGAGAGTGGCTGGACGGTGCTGAAGATAGTCTCGCCATCGACCCTGGTGATCCAGCATGCTGACGGCAGAGAGAAGGTCGTGAACGTTGATATCGTGAAGCCTGGACACGCCCAGCAGGTAGATGGAACACTAGATGATGGTAACCATGACGCTGCCGAAGATCGCCCAGAGCCAGCTGCCTGTGATAATGTGGTGAGCATCGAGTTTGCGGCTGACATGCCGACTCAGCGCTACGATCTCCGAGGCCCTGGTAATCGACGACAGCCAGCTAGATACAGTGGATGATCAATGGCACCTAGGGGAGTGGTGTTATGAACTGCTATATTAGGTGCCTTATGACTCTTGTGTCACACTGTATGTTGCTATGCATGCTGTGTACACGCTCACCCATATGCACGCGCCTCTGCTTTATGTGTACACCTCTCATGCTGTGCATGTGTCCACGTGCGTAGCTGCACTCCTTTCTCAGATTGCATGCCCGTCTTTCTGTACTTCAGTAGTTGAGTCGATCCTTTAGTTCAGTGTGCTTCAGTCTGGTTCTGATAACTTACTTCTAACTTCTATGTCTCTTCCAATTCTCTTGTAAATAATTCATTCCCTAATCCGAAGTGTTGCGTTAGTGCTGGCTGGTCGAACGTGGGTTCCACTACATCGGTCTGTTGCTCTTCTATTCGTTCTGTTGTTCTCCGTTGTTTTTGTTGTAGATTTATTTGGTGCGGCTGTGCGCATGTTATTATTTTGTTGGAGCTTCGGCTCCCGTGTTTCGGTTGGCCTTGTGTGGCGTGGCCTGGTTGTAGAGCGTCGGCTCTAGGTTTTTGTTTGGCCCTGTTTCGTGGCCCGGATATTATTTTAGAGCGTCGGCTCTAGGTTGATGGTTGGTTTTCGTTTTTCTGTTCTGCTGTGGTTCCTTTTGCTGTTGTGCATGTGGAACGTGGTGTCGGTTTATTATTTTGTGGAATGTCATCAAGGGGGCAGGTGTTGTGAAATGATGTGTTGTTTTCCTGTGTGATGGCATTCCCCAAACTGTCTCGTCTAGTCGCGTGCATGTGTGATATGAGCATGCGCGATGTTGTAGTCGAGAGTCCTTTTGTCAGTCTTCTTGTTCGTCCTTTTGAGTGTTGTCTCGATTTCCGTAATGTCAATATAAATAATGTAATACAAACCAGTCTTGTCCTTTGTGTCCTGCGTCCCGGGGAACGGAATGGCCGAGATTCCGTTACACTGCACAACGACCATGCTTGCTGCACTACCATGCTACATGGCACACAACTTACACGCTTTCTCTAAAACCACCAAGTGATCTCTTTGCTGTATCTCTCCCCCCCCCCCTCAATGGGGCCCCCATGATCCCTCCCTTCCATGACACCCACCCAGCACTTGAAGACGTCAGCCTACAAACACAATTTGTTGCTTCTTGATGTTTCCTTACCCTGTACTTGGCCAAGCGAACACCCCAAGTAGCCAGATCGTACGTCTTCTTGCATTGCTGCATGGCTGTGTCATTGAAGGGACTTGACGGTACGTCACGCTGGCTCGTCGTCTCCATTGCCAGCTTCAGATACTGCCAGCCAAGCCAAGCCAACGCCTGCACATGTTGTGAGCGGAAGCAACCAGAAACAACTATCCTGTTTTCGACGTGATAATCAACAGCAGAAACATATTATGTACATGTACTGATCGTTTCAATCTCATCATTCACAGACTGTTTGGTTCTCACGTGTTCTTGTACTTGTATTGCTTGCTTTTTGCACATTTATCAACTTCTCGTGCAGCTATTTTGATGCCTGATTCATGCTTTTGTTCAGCCAGTTCACTAGTCTTGTAGCCTTGATATTCTGCTGCTTTCCCTTCCCCTCGGATTACTCGAGCAGTAAAAGAAATTATTCTCTCTCTTTTTCTCTTTCTCTCTGCCTCTCACTGTCTCTGTGTCTCCCCGGCTCTCCCTCCCTCTCTCCCTCCCTCCCCGGCTCTCTCTCTCTCTCTCTCTCTCTCTCTCTCTCTCTCTCCCTCCCTCCCTCCCTCCCTCCCTCCCTCCCTCCCTCCCTCCCTCCCTCCCTCCCTCCCTCCCTCCCTCCCTCCCTCCCTCCCTCCCTCTCTCTCTCTCTCTCTCTCTCTCTCTCTCTCTCTCTCTCTCTCTCTCTCTCTCTCTCTCTCTCTCTCTCTCTCTCTCTCCCTTTCCCTCTCAATACATGGTGTGGTTGTGCTGGCTTGTCTCAACATTGGCACCGAGCGTGGGGCTCGAACCCATAACCCTGACACAGTGTCATGCTCTACTGAGTGAGCTGTATGAAAGTATCACACAAGGCGATTGGCACATAGCAACCAAGGTGTGTTACTGATACTTCCACAACCTTTTTTCCAAACAAACATCGAATACATGCATGCAGGTATCATCACTCCATGGTTTGCGTTGTTCTAGCATCATACGCTATGCAGCAATCCCATCTACAAATACAAGAATCTCCAGCTTGTTGAGAAACCACTGGCATTTCTCCATGAAGTACTGATGCAGCAGTGTTGACAATGTGCAACCTGTACCTGTAGGCGTGTGTGATCCCCATGAGAGCTCAGGCGGCTTTGGTTGAGAGCCTTGAACACTGTGCTGGCTGGCAGCTGCAGCATGTAACCCAGTGCAAGTGACAAGTCCAGTGTGCGATACGCCAGCACCTGATATACACAGTATGATACACACACACACGCACATGCATGCACACACATGCACGCATGCACGCATACACACACGTACACACGCGCACGTACACACGCGCACGCACCCACACCCACACCCACACCCACACACAGCGTACATGCACTGTGATGCAGTGGCGTAGTCTGATGATGGTGCATGATGTGCCCAGGGAAACCAGGTCATTCTGTCAACCCTGTCACCAAACAGAGTTTCACTACTGTGCAGGGCTGACAGCAGGCATGCAGAGCCTAGAGAGTTGGGATTGGTAGCCACTTGGACTCCACACCGGGCTATACACCTTTATAAGGAATCAAATCAAACATATAGAGCATGGGCTTGGTCTTGGGCGTGAATCTAGCAACACACAGGTATATTGTCCACTTCACATATGCACCCACCCACCACCAAACCACCCCAGTACCTCTAGGGGCACAGGTGCTCCAACTGAAGAACACAAGAAGGCTGCTGTGACAGCGAGAAACACTAGTACCTTCGACAGGAGGTTCTCCCAGAGTCCTGAAATCACTTTCGGAGCTTTCATTATCACAATGGCCACCGTGTCTTCCAAGGCCTCCTTCACAGCATTGTCCTGTTAACCAAAAAGATGAAGCAACAACAAGAACACAGCCCACCACTAAAAAAAGAAACCCAAAGAGCACGCATGTACACATGCACACAAGTTGCACACGTTAAGTTGCATAGTAGCCTGACAGCGTCAACAATTTAACTCGCATTTCCGAAGTGGTATGCGCATTCAGGAGTCATTTGAAGTGTAAATTAAACGAAAACAAAAAAAAATACTAGTAAGGAGCATACAGTCATTGTATGTGCCTACACTGCCATGCACCAGCTAACCACTGGTAAGCAAATGTACTGTATGCTCACTCACAGCTCGCACACTGTACCCACCTTGCAGCTGTCACAGTAGTTGACAGCAAAGCACTCCAAGCACTGGTACAGGGCCTATGATCACAGAGAGAAAACCCCAAGGGCAAAACAAACACTAGGAGGTATCCTGCTGCAACATGTGCACACCGTGGCTGCGTTCGATTATGCACTTGAATCGATTCATGAATCCATTTGCATGCATTCAAGTCGTTCGATTTTCATGTCATGAGCCCTGGGAATCGGTTCGGAATCCATTCACCCTATTCACATCTGGTGCACATCTGGTGATGTGAATAGCGCGAATCGATTCATGAATCGATTTGCGGGCATAATCGAACGCACTCACTGGCGCAGGTATGAGAGCCTCCTTCACTACAGCACAGCAGTGAGTGATTTCATGCATTGCAGTGAATGGGCTTTGTTGTTATCCTGTACTAACTGTGCAGACCTCTACGAGGGTGACAGGGACAGCAGGGTTTCAACATGGTCACCGCTGGGGTGTCACTGGCAAAATTGCCGTACATTAAACACTGAAAACACATTCTCTCGGCCTCTGTCTCTCTCTCTCTATGTCTCTCTGTCTGTCTCTGGCGGCTGTCTCTGTCTCTGTCTGTCTGTCTGTCTGTCTGTCTGTCTGTCTGTCTGTCTGTCTGTCTGTCTGTCTGTCTCTGTCTGTCTGTCTCTATATCTGTCTGTCTGTCTGTCTGTCTGTCTGTCTGTCTGTCTGTCTGTCTGTCTGTCTGTCTGTCTCTCTCTCTCTCTCACCTCACTAGCATAACTCATAGCAAGCTGACAACAGCCATTAGCGACCAATACGGACGTCATCTGTTGCGCAGCAGTGCTAAGTGCGGCCAAGTGGCCCGGTGTTGCCGTGTGCTGTGTAGTGTCTTCTGCAGTACACACAATCAATACGATACAACAGCAGGGATAAGAGGTGGGAGGCAACAACTGGTACTCACAACACCCCACAACATCAGAACAACCACATATGCTGTGTAACTCGGGTGTAGTCAGATGGATTTTATAGGGAGATCAAGAGGAATTTTTGATAACCCTTTGAGGTTCCATTGTTCGAATTCGAACGATATTTGACTGCGCGCGGTCAAACACCGATTTTAGCTGGCAAACATGGTCACACAGGTCTCAAACTTCACAGACAGCTCGCAGAGATCGTGACCATGACGTAGGTATCAAATATGTGGGGGTCGCGCACACAAACAAATACAGTGCGGAGCGCTCGAAGTGTGGCTATGTACTTCGCGAACGCAGAAGAAAATTTGCTTCCGCAAGGACCATGGACGGGGCTGCTGCTGCTCAGTTGCTCCTGCAAATGGACGCTGATGGAGATTCAGTGAACGATATAAATGAAAGTGAATTGTCTGATGATCCATGTCTCTCCTCGGAAGAGGAAGACAACCTTGACAATGATATTTTAGATCAAGTAATTGACGACGGCTCCGAGAGCAAAAGTGACGGCGATGAGGGAGATGACGAAGATTTTGAAGCAGAGGTAGTTGCTGCTGCGCCAACTGCTCCTACCCGTGGTGGGCCTCGAGGACGTGGAGGACATCGAGGAGGTGGCCGTGGCGCCCGTGGTGGCCGTGGCGCTCAGCGCAGGCCGTGGAATACAGCGAGGTGGTGGTGCAGTTCGCGGTGCTCGCGGTGGTCGTGGAGCTGGTCGCGGAGCTGGTCGTGGAGGCAGAGGACGCGGCGTTGGTGCACAGTATGACCCAGCCAGTGGGTATGACGGCGAGGACGACGGAGCACCTGGCGCGATCGTGTTCCATCCCACAGCAGCTACAGGATTAACTCTACCGGATGGATTTGTCCCAACGCAAGAGAGCGACTTTTTCAAGCTGTATTTCACCTTTGAAATTGTAACAAAAATCGTCCAATACACAAATCAGTATGCAAGAGCCCACATCGACTCGAAGCCCACATATGCAGTGAATGGCGAGTGGAAGGACACCAATGTTGACGAAATGTACAAATTTATCCCGTTAGTTATTTTTCAAGCTTTTCAGAAGGTGCCTGAAATCCGTGACTACTGGCGGACGTCATCTTTGTATGCAGGCAACTATGCTCAGCTGATGATTTCGTCCCGACGCAGGTTTGTTGCTCTGTTGTGCTTCCTGAAAGTTGTCAACCCTGATAATGAAGATCCCAACGACCGCCTGCGCAAGGTGAGAGAGCTGAGTGACCACATGAGAGAACGATGCCAAGCACTATTCAAGCCGGGCCAGAAAGTCGCAGTAGATGAGCGGATGATACGCAGTACTTACCCAAAAAACCCGTGAAGTGGGGCTTCAAGGTCTTTGCTGCTTGCGACTCTGCTTCGTCTGTATTATTCAATCTTGAAGTGTATACTGGCCAGCAGGGCACCAATGGTGGCTTGGCGCACAATTTCGCTATGAAGCTGTGCGCACCGCTCTTCCAGCAAAACCATGTTGTATACACGGACAACTACTACACGTCTGAGTTGTTGGCCAACTCTCTTCAGGACAATGGCATAAATTCAGAAGAGCTTTACCTTTCAGACAATATAGGGGTCTGTATATACAAATGTTCATAGATTCGGACATATTGTGCACTTTATGAAAATACTTCGGAATGCGCATATTCTCTGAAAATAGTTGGACCCTCAAAGGGTTTATAAAGAACATGGCATTTCATTACTTCTGCACGATGTGCAGCAAAAGATACACTCCTCTAGCTCTGTGTACATTAGCTAATCTTTAGGCCAGTAGTTCGGCCTACTTAAAGCTTGAACCTGCACTGATGAGACGTATATGGCCAAAACAGCGTACTGTCTACAGCATTGAGCTAATCTTTATCAAAATATTAGTCACCGCTTCAACAGCTGGTGGCAGTCTGGGTTCAGAGAGTCAAAAAAGGAAGTTTTGAAGTTTTGATTTCCGTGTTTTCTTTGCGGCATCATACTTTAGGTACTTCACGGAGTATTTGGAGCAAATTTGAGCAAATTCCGGTCATTCGATCCAGATATACTGCGCAAAGTTTATACAATAGACCGAGCTCCTTATTATTGTCTGGGTTCGAGCAAGGGGGCAACCTAGCGCGAGCGTGGGATCCTACTTCACATACGTGACTCAGGATCATTGCTGCGTTCTTCACCGTCAGAACTGGAGGACAAAGCAAACAAGTCAATTCACTCTTTTCCTCGCGTGGAGCCACAGCGGCCCGGAGCAAGCGGATCCAGGCTATACGCCGTGAGGAAGGACGTACATGTAGTTTTAGGGTCACTCTGAATATTCAAGTTGCAACGATCATTTCAATCCCGAATCGTTTTACCCAGCTCTACTAGAGCAGGATGAGTCCAGGAAATCAAACAGCTGCCCAACCAGGTTTGCTTTTCGCAAGAGAGTGCAGCCTGGACGGAGTGGACGCCCAGCTCCCCAGGCTCGCAAACCAGTATTTGCTGAGAGGCAACTGCAGTTTGAGTTTGAAAGGAACCTAGCCTAGTGCAGTTTGGTCCTTCCTGTAATGGAAGTGTGGAAGTGCAGCATCTGCATCACGAGCTGGCAACAAGAAGAGCTCATGTACAGAGTCTCGAGGAGCAGCTGGACGATGTGAGGACTTGGGTGAAGAAAGCCGAAAAACAGTTGCTTCCATACGATAACATAAAGGAAGACTCTGAGCAGCTCCAGCTTCTCGCTGATTTGCCTTCAGGTGTTCGACCGCTCTGTGAGACTTCCTTAAGCCTAGCCCAGAAAATGTACTGAGCGCCAGATCAGCAAAGACAGAAGCTGAGGGACGGCAGATAACAGTTGGCGGCGGCCGTAAATCGCCAATGAGCATGGAGGATCAGCTGCTATTGGCATTGATGTGTCTACGCCTGGGCCGAATAGAACAGAAGCTCGCATACATATTGGGCACAAGCAAATCATCCGTTTCACGGTATATAACAACTACGAGTAGCTGAGCTGGAAAGAGTTCTTGTTCCGCAGTCTGGGCATGATCCCCATCTGGGCGAGCTGGCCAGATGTTCAGACATCAATGCCACGTATCGCAAGACATTCTGCATTGTGGATGCAACTGTTCTATTTTGCCATGCACTTAGGGTTCTTGCACCGGCACGGCAATGGAGGAGGTCATCAAGACCCAGCAGATCCTTGCGCTCTTATTATCTCCCATGGTACCATTGCTGGTCACAGCACCCGGAAGCCAGTTGTAGATGCAACCAAATCAACCAAGTTCTCTTACTCCTTTTTTTTCAATACTGAAACCAAAGGCATACCATTACTTGCATTGAATGCAGTGATGCGTTCAATACTGCCCACCAGTACAGCACAGTGATGAGTTCAACACTGTCCACCAGTACAGTGCAGTGATGAGTTCAACACTGTCCACCAGTACAGTGCAGTGATGAGTTCAATACTGTCCACCAGTACAGTGCAGTGATGAGTTCAACACTGTCCACCAGTACAGCGCATTACCAGACTGGCATATAATCACAATATTATACTTGGATGGCGAGCCAATTTAATTATGGTAAAAAAAGGAGCAGGGCGCACACACCAGGAAACATGAGAGCAACTCATCACTGTTCAGCAACTCATCACTGTTCAGCAACTCATCACTGTTCAGAATGTAACCCAGTTCACTGTAGATTGCAAGACTCACCAGCAACGGACTGCTCAAAGGGCCGCACACACAGTTGATAATGCTGACGAGGTACCACGGCTGAGTGAACAGGACAGACGCACAATCAGCCCCGCAAGAACCCCAATACATCAGATGAAAAACAATGGAGAACAGAAGCAAATTGCTCTCCTGCATGCGTAAAATACGCTGTGCCACCAACGTACTTGAAGCTCACTGCTTTATTACACAGACACAGATAGTTCTATCAAAAGTCAGTAAGTCAGTAAGTCAGTATGGGTTTATGTCTCGAAACGACTCTAGATTCGTACTAGGTCATTCTGACACACCAGTGAGAATAATGCATGATATGTTGGGAGGCAGCATCAATGCCAGCCAGAACTACACGCAGTGTCATTGGTTTATTACGCGCTAGTGTTGCTTAGGGGTATGACCATTTCGATTACTTTTACCCTGTTCCGGAATCACAGCCATTCCGTTCCCCGGGACGCAGGACACAAAGGACAAGACTAGTTTGTTTTACATTATATATTTCGACATTACGGAAATGAAGACTACACTGAAAGGGACGAACAAAAGACTGACAAAAGGACTCTCGACTACAAAATCGCGCATGCTCATATCACACATGCACCCGACTAGACGAGACAGTTTGGGGAATGCCAACACACAGGAAAACAACACATCATTTCACAACAACCCCACGTGTCAAATCATGGACAGTGTTGATTACCTGTGGTGGTGGTGGTGGTGGTGGTGGTGGTGGATGGAAGTATTGTTTGGTTAAACTTTTGCAACACAGGTAGAACTTCCGCTGGTGAAAGCACTAAAGAATCCTCTTGAAACGTGTCTCCAGTAATCAGCTTGGAAAAGGTCCTGCAGGGAAGTTATAAAAGGAGGGAACATGCAGAGCTCCGCACACATTCTTCATAATTGGCAAGTTTCAACAGGAGCATTCATCAATCAAACAAGCATAGCAAACACCAACACAGCAGCTCAACGCAGTACATTTGCGCTAGGTGTAAATTCTGACACGAGTGTGTTGGTCAGTGGGCGCCACCCAAAGCGCAAGCATTAAATCAGGAAGAAAGATGCAGCAGCAGCATGGAAAATCTTACCGAGTATTGTCAGACGTCCATTGCCACTCCTAGGAGCGAAGGGAGAAACACAACATATAACCCATTATTGATGCTGTAACTTGACGAAACTAATGAACCGTGTCGCAAATCTGGCTGAAATCTGAGCTGAAATTTAGCAAAAAGGAAAATACTCGGGAAAGAAGGCAAGCGTCTGAAAAGAAAGCCCTGTACAATAAGTGTTGCATTTTGAACTGTAGAGTCCCAGTCTCCACTCACCGATGAGGAATCATACACACTATGCGAGGTTGTGCTGCATGCTTTACAGAGATCATACAGGCGACGCGCTGACTTTGCCAGGGCAGAAATATCAACCATGTCATCTGCAAAGGAGCAGCAGCACAAATCAGAAGAAGAACATTTGACAGAAAATTTACTTTACTCGTGGTGAGGAGTCTCCTCTGTAACCACTATGCAGAGTAATAGCACTGCACCAGCTTACGTCAATAGAGAACCAAGATAAACTTGGCGTGTATGTCCAACAACTTACATGATATACAGGCTTAAGCTTAACCCATCGTATAATCAGCCACGACATAATAATTGCTGAAGCTATGCAAAAGACGTTCCTTTAGTAGCGTCTGGTGCTAGCCAGGGTCCACAGCGCTTTATTTCGGTATGTGTTTGTGCCGTAGGGCGTTATCACGTGACACGCCAGGCCTGGCTCGCTGTACCGTACATAAAGACAGCTGGCCACCATATTCAAATAGGCCTTTCAACTACAGGATCATAAGGTTAAGCAACTTGGTAGGATGTGTATGTATGTGAAATGTATCGAGGGAATGCAGGCAGGGTGATAGTGTGGGTTCAAATCCCATGTTTATAGATACAGGTAGAAACGTCTTTGCAATACGATTATCAGCATTTGGCGATTATCGGGTACATTTTTTGTATTGCAAAGACGCTTCTATCATTTCGAATAACACGCAAGGTGATCTAGGTAACACAAATCATAGCGAGGGCTCTGGGCTTTTCATTAACCCTTTGCGGTGCATCAGTCATTAAAGTCTGATATATTGTGCGTACCGTAAAACTGTCGTAACTCCATTGTTTTTAGTCCTGTTGCAAATATCGAAATATGTAGATTGAAGAGGAAGCTCCAAGCTTTCCAATGGTGTAATCGCTTTTGCGATAGGAGAAACAATGATTAATTTAACATTTGAGAATACACGCCGCATAAAAGAGACAGACACTGTTGAGAGAACTGTTCATGATGTCCTAGCAAATACATCTAAGTTCATGCTCAGGCTTACATGAAGCACATCTTGTTGGAAGGTCAGTGGACAGTTGCAGACATTCTTCAGCCAGGTTGCTCGTTTCGACGGTGGTGTTATCAGCAAACGATCCTCTACACCCGCTCTGATAGGTCTGCAGCACCTTGTCTTGCAAACAGTGAAGAACGTGCTGAAGTTGTGATATTGCACCCGGCGACGCATCACAGTCCAGCAGAGCTCTGCACAATCGCCCAGGTACAGACATACACAAATACACACACGCACATGCACACACACACGCACACATACACACGTGCACACACGCACGCAAACACACGCACACACACACACACACACACACACACACACACACACACACACACACACACACACACACTAGTCTACTACTACTACTACTACTTGCTCACTGCCAAAATTGGTCACGTGGGTCTCCCCGGGAGAGGGGAGAGAGGAACTCAAAAGGAATCTTGGAAAGAGGACTCAAATGGCTATTGAATCGCCCAACGGCCAACAGCCCCCTGAAATACCCCAAACTATGGGTGGACTTGAAAATGATCCCACTTACGGGCTCACCACACCTCAGTAAGTGGGTGAGGACAAGGTGCAGAAGAAGAATTGACGGCATCAGGGTATCTGTCCCGGAATCCAACTGCAGTTACCCCTGCCCCCAGTGAGGGTAATACTTGCTACTAGTGTGGGTGGCTAAATCAGAGTGGATCTGACATAAGCTTCACTAGCACCAGTGATTACACAAGAGTTAATCTAGCCAGAAGCAGTCCAGGGTCAACAGGTATGTACACTTCAAATAGAAAGTATATGAACCCTGAAAGCAACAAAGGTGGCAGATACCACAATACACCTTCAAGCAGCCGAGCCTGTTGGCAACAGACCCAACACTATCTGGAATATGTGTACCCACCAACCGGACTAGCTGGCACACACAGACACAGACACAGACACAGACACACACACACACACACACACGCGCGCGCATGCAAACACGCACGCACGCACACACACCACACACACACACACACACACACACACACATACACACACGTGCACGCACGCACACACACACACACACACACACACACACACACACACACACACACACACACACACACACACACACACACACACGTCCAACACATTTACCATGTTGGCGGATTTTGTGAGACTTCTAATCAGGCGTACATGTCCAGTTTGAGGTTCTAAATATCACACCTTGTTACGACTGAAATCGGTCCCAGAAGATGGTTCTAATTAACTAGTATGTTCGAGTTTTGCTATACAGTAAAACCGGCTTTTTAAAATAAGCGGTCACCCCACGTTGCGAGCAAAAGGTGTCGTTAAAGCCAGGTGGTCTTTAGAACAAGGTCCCATACATTCACGGCATGCTGGATCCTGCACATACTTCCATGTACTCATATTGACAGGTGTTGGGCATTGAACACTTTCATACAGGCGAAGGCCCATGCGTTTTCACACCTCACTCAAGTCATGCAGCGCCCTGCACTGTCACTTGTCCCTTCCATTGACTGCATGTACTCCTTCTGAGCACATTTCAACCCTGTTGCAGCCAAGCCTGCCAGCCAGGACAGCACTTGTTGTTGCTGCATGCGGTCAGATACGGCACTTGTACACTGAAAGTCGGCCGCTGGTCGCGCACCGCAGGTGGTTTCTGTTTCCAGTTCAGTGTCTATGCAAAACTGCAGGTGCAGGGAAAAACGGTCATTCTAAGATCAGGTGGTCGCACATACTAGAGGTAGCTTAGCCCAGGTTTTACTGTGAATAATCCGGGTTCCACCCGTACCCTGATAGCCAAAGTGAAACCCCTGAAGGATCTCAGGCTGCATTTGACGAGATCTGCAGTGTCAAAATCCGTCTGACACGCACTGAGTTAAACCAACAACGCCACAGCCAGTTAAAACCCACTCTTACCTGCACAGACGTATCGCGTCCACTAAGTCATCACTATCCAAGCAGGTTCTGATACATTGCAGTAGTACGGTAGAATAAGACAGCTCCAGCAAAAGACTCAATCTACAAAACAAACATAGAGATACAGAGGGGGGGGGGGGGTGCGACAGGTAGGAGAGACAGGAGAAAAGGGAGGGGTTGTGGGAATACAATCAGATTCAAGATATACGAGAAAATGGGACAGAGAGTGAGAGAGATAGAACAGAGAGTGAAAGAGATTGGGAGGGAGAGAGAGAGAGAGGGAGGGAGAGAGAGAGAGAGAGAGAGAGAGAGAGTATGTGTGTGTGTGTGTGTGTGTGTGTGTGTGTGTGTGTGTGTGTGTGTGTGTGTGTGTGTGTGTGTGTGTGTGTGTGTGTGTGTGTGTGTGTGTGTGTGTGTGTGTGTGTGTGTGTGTGTGTGTGTGTGTGTGTGTGTGTGAGCAGGATACGACAGCAATGCTTTTCAACCGAGCTGTTCTGCAGATAACTTATATCATCATGCGATTTTTGGTGAATAGACCAATTAGAGAAATCACATTCGACCAATGCTGATGAGCATGAAGAGTACAATCTGCATCAATGTATTTCCAAGAGAAACTGAACTTGATATACTTGCTTAGCATGGCTATATCTAGGCTAACAGAAGGCTGACGATGTGATATCCTTACTAGTGAGCTACCTCACATGATATATCATTATCTTTCTACTCCTCTACTCTAAGTTTGTATCAGCCGCGCATGCGTTTCCGTTGTGCTGCTGAGCTTCCATGTCGTTCGAGTTCGGCGTTCTAGCTTTGATCTTGAAGTCAACAGTTGTCCTTTTCGTCTTGTCCTGAATTGCTCTGGTGTGATCATAATATTTGGCGACGGAGATGGCACATAAACAAGAGATTTTCTGTCCTGAGATATCGACATGCTGGCCACATACGTGTACATGAAATTCTGCACACCTCTTGTATAGAGATACAGTGCTGCGACGGCAGAACTTCACATCACGTGACATGGTTCAAAAGGCTATGCTGGCAAACAGTGCAACCAGTGACCATAAGAGAGTTGTACCCAAAGCAGGGCTATGTGCAGCCTTCTATCCATCTTGCACGGGGTGGAAATAATGTACATGGGTTTGTCACGTGATGTGAAGTTCTGTCGTCGCAGACCCCATAGCTGGATTAGCACACTCTTGGGGGTTACGTACTACAGGTGGAATCCTGATAATTCGAACTTCAAAATGCCAGGAAAAAACTTCTAATTATCCGGACATTTTAATTATCCAAACATGAACCCACGACACAGTATGTACCTGTATTATCTCTAATATAAGCACGGTCCTTTATTTTTTTCAATGTACCTCCGCCCCGTGCTATTAATGGAGACGTTCCTTTATTGGAGACTGTTTCATTATTATTTCAACCTCATTTCAGAGGCATGTTGCCATGCCAAATTCATGTCAGACACACACATTTCAGGGGTTTTCGCCGGCACTGCATTTTAGAGATAATACGGTACATGCATTTTACCAGGTACCGATAGACAGTGTGCTTATAATGGAGACTGAGCACTTTATTTTTTGAATGCCGCCCCAAGGTGTTCTATTATTGGACACGTGCTATTATTGGAGACTGTGCTTATATTAGAGATAACACGGTATGTCAAAATGCTCTCATGGTCACGCAGAGTTGCGCTATGGACTTTAGACACAGATTTCACGGATACTGAACTGACCACCACAGCCTGCTCAAGCAAACTGAACTGACCAGTACAGTGTACAGTGAACTTCGAATTACACTTTGCTAACTTCGAATTATCAGCACAAATCCCACACCTTTTCTATTTAAGTGGAATCCGTGGGACTTCTAATTAACCGGACATGAACGATTCGAGGTTCGAATTATCAGAACATTTTATGTGGGAATCGTATTGACCGAAATCGGTCCTGGAAAAACTTCTAATTAAGCGGTATGTTCGAATTAAGCCATATTCGAATTATCAGGATTCCACCCGTATCATTACATTTATTACATCTCAAGACTCGGCGGAAACACCGGCCAATGTTAAGAGAGTGGGTGATAGCCAACCCCGGCGATAAATAAAAGTAAGGGGAGGGAAAACGAAAGAGCAGCAAAATCAACAGCAACAACAACTCCGTAAAGAAATAAGCTCTTGGTATTACTGAATATGTACGAGATACAGAAGCTAGGCAGCGGTGTTCGCCAGCATCAAGCTTTCACAACATTTACAAGTGCTGCCAGCCCAAAGAACAGCAATCTATCTACGCACTTGAAGCCAAGTGTAGGCAATGACACGTGCCCTACACCTCCAGGCTACATATATGCGACATGGTGTATGTGAACAATGCCGCTCTCTCCCCTCCCCCCTCTCTCTCTCTCTCTCGCACACACACACACACACACACACACACACACACACACACACACACACACACACACACACGCACGCGCGTAGAGGTGGGAGTTTTTTTGTGGTTGTGATTGGCTGTTTGCATACTTTCATGTTCTCATGTTGTTTTGTCCCTCCATTTCACACATCACTGCCAGTGACGTGTGAAATGGAGGACTTGAACCAACAATAATTCTCCACTACTTTCAGTGCTTCGCTATTCAGTTCGCTGCAACTACTGCAATATTAGCTGCAATAGTGACACAAAAAATATCGAAAACAAATATCAGACAAAGAGTTGTTGAACTCAGCACGTGTTGTCGACTTGTTGTCACATTTAAAGGGGAACTGTCACCAAAATTTTTCTTTGTCTTATCTTGTAGTTCTTTGGCTCCTGATCACGATGGTGTTATTCGTTGTTCTCTGCGATGACTGGAAGTGGGTGAAAACTTGAAAAGAAGGTGCCCAAAATTGTCCCGAAGTACCGAGTGACGTCACGCCGGACTTGACCTCCACGCGTACATTCATCGTCAAAAACGAAGTCCAGCCCGTGTGCTCGTCGATCGAGCCAACTGTTCGATGTACGGTGCACGCTTGCCTTCTGAACTCGGACACTCGATGTGTACTGTTGTACACAATGAGAACGCCAAAAAGGGACAAAATAAACAAAAGTCGACTGCAGTTTGTCGCACTGGTACTTCCTCCACGACGCTCCAGCTCTTTGTTTTATTTGTGATTACGAAGGAGTGGAAGGATGTTTGTTTGCTGTTAGTGTGACACACATACCTCGTACTTGAAAATTATGTCGTTGTATCGAAGGTGGCGATGTTGCCCACCCGGCTCTGAAATGAAAGACGTCGGAGTTCGTCATCTGCATCTTCAGCAACATCGCTAGATGAATCGCCTTCACGTAACTACATTGCGTTCCTTTGGGGCTCGGGTTGGTGGTGTTATCGCCGGCCGGAAGAGTATTGTTTTCTGCATACGCACTCATCATCGTGTTGTTCCTCACACGAAAAGTTCAAAACAACGACGTACTTCCGTGCTCACAAAATAAAACGATCTTCGCGGAAGAAGTCAAAAAGGTGAAAGCTCAGCTGCTTTTTATTTTGATTTGGCTGTGTAGCTGCACGTGGGTCTCTGCCTCTTTGGCATTCTCCTTCGGTACGACGTACCCATCCATGTGTTACAGTTCAAAAGGCACACGTGCACCGTACATTGGAACAGCTAGCTCGATCGACGAGCACACGGGCTGGACTTCGTTTTTGACGATGAATGTACGCGTGGAGGTCAAGTCCGGCGTGACGTCACTCGGTACTTCGGGACAATTTTGGGCACCTTCTTTTCAAGTTTTCACCCACTTCCAGCCATCGCAGAGAAAAACGGATAACACCATCGTGATCAGGAGCCAAAGAACTACAAGATAAGACAAAGAAAAATTTTGGTGACAGTTCCCCTTTAACATCATGTTTACTAGATAGCACTATAAATGCTGCCAGCACTACTGTCACCTGCATCAAACTATGCAAGTGCCAGCTATAGGGACACTAGACAAGCAGTGAATATGCCAGGTAATGTGAATTTTATCACCCATCCAGTACAGTGCGAAAACAAGCGAGTTTCAGGACATACCCTTGAGTGGCAGCACCCAGGAAAAACGATATTCTTATGTTATTTCTATAACTTAGAACCTTCCAAGTTGGAAGGCTGTTGGAGTGCGCATCCAAGATGTGCTAGAGCTGTTAGCCAGTTAGTTGTAGAAAGTCAGCACCGTCGGTCAGTGTCGTGCAATGTTATAGCATGAGCTGATTGTTTAGTAACTGGTGGTGTTAGTGGACATTAAAGTGTAACTTGTAGTTCCTTGGTCCTTTTTTACTTTTTACAAATAATCCTTGGCTCTCCATCCGGGATATTAGTTGGCCTTGATCATTTCAGAACCCAGTAGACTTGTTTTTTTCTTGCCATCCTTTACATTCTGCTCTGTAGCGTTCTGTGCAGTGATTCCAGGTGGCTTAGTGTACTTGTGCTCTTGGGTATTACCAGAAGTGTACAAACTCTCATCATCTCACTTGGTAAAAGTTGTGTTTGTAATGTGAACATTAACTGGCTACATCAAGTCACTTTTAGAGGTCGCAGGACAACGACCAGTGCAGATTTCAACATTTCTGAATACAAGTTGAGCTTGTCCAAGTCACGGTTTCACGGTCAAACTGATGTCACTCTGACTACGTTCATCCTTCACAATGCCAAGAAAGAGTAAGAAGACAAAGACATCTGTCAAGAGAAATGATGCTGTGTCCCGAACTGTGCCAGAAACAGACGATCAGAAAAAGGAGCTGTTGGGAAAAGCTGATGAGGCAAGCAGAGCAGTACAGTCGGTGTTTTCACGTTGCCAGCAACGTCACGAGGAGCTGCTTGATACGGTTTTGAAAAACACTGAAAATGTAAACAGCTTCCTTTCTTGCCTCCAATTCCGCTACAGTCAGCATCAGAAAATATATCAGAGTCACAAGTATGTAGGAACATTCAAATCAGCGGTTCAAGCAGATAATCAGACAGTAGACAAGAAGACCTACATGTGCTATATGGAAAGAATTCCTGGACTCTCCCATAATAAATGTGCTTTGGGGCCCATCACCTTTATAAGTTGTTTGCAGCACAGACTTTCAGCATTTGACAGCATCTTCCA